TGTGTGTGTGTGAAGGCGCTGTGTGTGAGGGCGCTGTGTGTGTGTGTGTGTGTGTGAAGGCGCTGTGTGTGTGTGAGAAGGTGCTTTGTGTGTGAGGGTGCTGTTAGTGTATGTGTGAGGGTGCTGTTAGTGTGTGTGTGAGGGTGCTGTTAGTGTGTGTGTGTGAGGGTACTGTTAGTGTGAGAGTGCTGTTAGTGTGTGTGTGTGTGTGATGGTGCGGTGTGTGTAAGGGTGCTATGTGTGTGAAGGTGCTGTTAGTGTGTGTGTGTAAGGGTGCTGTGTGTGTGAGGGGGCTGTGTGTAGGGGGTGCTGTATGTTTGGGTGATTGTGTGTATTGTGTGGGGGCCATTTAGTAAATATCCCCCCTCCCTTCCTACCTTATGCCTGGGAGGGGGGATCCTTTCTGCTGCTTCCATCCCTTGTGGTCCAGTGGAGAGTGAACTCTAGCCTGCGGGGCTAGAGTTCACTCTCGCGAGATCTGAGCGTTGCCATGGCAACGCTCAGAAACCCGCGAGAGGAACCCGGCGGAGCTACTGGCAAGAGCTCCCCGGGTCCTCTCCTGCCTCCCTCCCTGCCTGTGGGTCGGTGGGGAGGGAGGCTGAGAGCAGAGCCGGCGCTCGGATAGCGCCGGCTCTGCATGAGCCGACAGGGGAGATCCTGAGCTCTCCCCTGCCGGTCTCAATATACATAGGCATGCCGCGGGGATTAGGGTGTGCCTAGGCACACCCGGCACACCCCGTGCGCACGCCTATGATTTGAACATAGAGGTACATGAGAAATCTAGCACAATTTTTATGTTTAAAGAGAGTTTGAGTAGTAAACAATAGAGGGTCTAACTGCTAATTCTGTCTCATAGCTGATAACATTGCTGGTATATCTAGTTAGTTGATTTTAAGCATTTTAGAGTAACATACGAGCTGAGTAATACAGGCTTAGTCTAGCTTTTATACAGGAGTTGATTACAATTGGTTGGTATAGGCTGGCAGCGGAGTTAACCCCTGGTGCGTTTCTGGTTCTGTAGCGTGATTGTGGGCATAGGTTGGCAACCAAATATTTTTAAAGAAAAGGAAATTAACAATAATGGTACAAATAAAAATGATGAGGCAATACTAATGTGCACAGATTCCTAACCCGCTATGCTGTGAGACTAGTCATATAATGGGCTTGCATACAGGAAGCAAAATTAGTACATTGGCCCTGTTTATATGCAGTTCTGTTCCCGTGCTTTTTTAGTTTTAATGGCAAGAATTGTAAAAATTAAGATAAAAGTAAAAATAGATGCTTGTAAAACTCTCGAGTCTGGTAAGGGTGCCCTTGGAACTACTTGCCAGGGGTGGGAGAGTCCTCTGCTTATCTGTAGGGTCAGCCAATTCCCCATTCGAGCCCCATTCGAGCCAGACTAAATTCTGCTATAAGAGTCCCAGTGTCAGGCCCAGCATCCTGCAGGAGTGGGGGCAGGTAAGGGTGTAGTAGTGTTCCGGCAGGGTGTCCGAAATCTGTCCGAGCTGCGCTAACTGCAGCAGTGGCATGCTTGGTTTGTGGTGCATATTATTTGCACTGCACCTTACTGGGTTGTGGGTCTGGTCTCCTGGTGTTGGGTCTCCGCTATCCATTTGGCGTGAGGACGGGTTGATGTGCGTCCATGCGATTGTTCTCTTGTTCTGGAGGGCCGTCGGTGTGCTCATGTTGCCGCCCAGTTGATCTCTGATCTCCCGCTGCTTGTGGTTGTCTCGTTGCCTCCAACCCCTGGGTGTTTCAATGCCGGGGGAGTCTGTGCTTCCTCCCACTTGACCTGGTGTGGGTGAGCGTGTAGCCCGGTTTCCGGCACAGCCCCTGGGTCCGTCGGGAACAGAAGGGCCTCCAGCTTTTCCCAAAAGATTTGGAAGGCTCTGTCCAGCCGATTCTCGACCTCTGGCAGCGCACCGTGAGTGCTGGGAAAGCACGTCGCCTCCACCATTTTGGGTGCTGTGTCATTGCTTGAGGGAGGCCTCTGTGTCACCACGGCAGTTTTACCGGGCTGTATCAGGGTCTCCCGAGGTCCATAGGGGGAACGGGGGTCTGGTCTCTGCTTGTCGGCCGCAAGTGCCAGCGGGGGAGCAGCCGTCTCCCTCATACCGACCACATGTATAGGCCTCATGGGGTGAACAGGTGCAGTAAGCCGGAATCGTAGCTTGTGTGGCATCGTTGTGTGCCCCTGGGTTTCTCCTGTCATATGGAGGCCCTTTTGGACCGATCAGATCCCGTTTTGGCTATTGAAATCCAATTATTTAGCACCGCTGAGCAGGAGCTTTTCGAGTTTGCTTCCTCTGCTCTCAGCGGTCAGGCCCCGCCCCCATTACAGTGGTTTTTTTGTGGTAACCTCCGATCATTTTAGAGGCTGGTGAGAAAGCTCAGTGGGTTAATGCATTGTCAGTAGCATCTGTTAAACCCTTGACAAACTATTCAACCGTTGGGTCGCAGGTTCGACTCAGCCCTTCATCTTTCCGAGGTAGATGAAATGAGTACTATTAAATTGGGTAACAGTAACAACCCCTGGATGTTGGGTTAAGGTAACAGACGTACTTTAAAACCAGAGTAAAATGAATGTACCTTTCCGGGATAATACTTTGTTATTGTTATTATCGGTTTTGTAAATATGGGTGCTTGGTACGCATGAATGAGAGTACAGCACTGATGCAGCTCCTGGCAGATGTAACACCAGTGGCCAAAGCAGGTTTTCAAGAAAAAGATTGAAGCGGCTGTGAGAGACACCTTCAGGTAAAATAAACCTACATTGCATTGCTCCCTGCGGCCACCAGACCCAAGCCAGAGATGTCACGTTCGAGGGTCATTACAAAATATTCTCAACCAAATGACTCTCCAGCCAAACAACTCATCTCTCTTATAATTCATTTGCAAACAATGCATCAATCACACACTTCATCACCAGGGTCTTTTGAGTCCTACCTTATCTCCTCCTATTTAATATTTTTGCTATTGTTGGACTCGAAACTTGAGTAGCTGATCTCTACCAGTCACTATTACATAACTCACAGCTCATTTACACAGAGCAGCCTATTTTCCAGGGCTAACATCCCAAAACTCAATCTTGAGGAAAGTGAAGCTTTCGTGCTGCCTATCAAAGAAGACAAGAAAAAGCAAAGAATATCAATAAAAAAAAAAACTTCTCAAAGCTAAAATGTAATGCAACGTGAGTTTAGAACATACTATTATACAATATTAGCCCCATTGGTGGCACCTTGCCTAACAATGGGTTACAATAAACAAGTTGAAGGAAAGCCTTCCCATCTGATTTTAGCCACAAAGATCTAAAATCTAAAAATCTGGTGGATGTCTTAATCAAGTATGGTACTAGTAATTTTGTACATAGTCTCAGCAGAGTATGTAAATGTGAGTGACGTTGAGGATCTGTATAGAAGGCAGATAAGTCTGTAGGAGGAGAGAAGCTATACTGATCTTCATCGCCCCTCACATTTACATTACTGGTACCATAATTGATTGAGACATCCACCAGAGACTATGCTCGAATATGCTGACTACTCTCTCAACTGTATGTTATTGTTTGCCAGTCTAAGTAAAGATTTTTATTTTTTTTCCGTATTGGTGTGGTGTAAATGATTAGAGGTAAAACAATATATATATATATATCAAAATACATACTTGACTCTTAAATAGATTTAAAATATTTTATTGCGTATGTTGCCTTAGTGCAGATTAGTCAGCATCACCCATATGAGGCCAACTGAGGCACCAAATTAGACTCCAAGAAAGGTGTCTGAATGGGTCTGATGCTGCAGGGGTTAAATTCTAGGTAGGGCTGTATATCAATGTAAGTTGATGGGTATATGCAACTAAATGGAAGAATCCAGTTTGGAGCTGCATGCCAGGGAAGTAGTAAAGGAAGGAGCATGAAGGGGGTGATTAGGGACTTCACTGGTTAATTTTCGAGCTGTGAATGGAGTTACATTTCAGTACCACATCCATTATATTTTCTGATTTTATGATAATTGGGGTGTACATGAGAGCTGCCATATGGTATGTAGAATTATTATGCTGCAGAACAGCAATATATGTATGTATTAGTTATTGAGATTCCTTTCTGCTGTATTGGAATACTATATACATACTGCAAAATATGCTATAAGGAATGTAGCAAAATGAAAAAACTCGGTGCTGAATTTTTGGGAATAATAAGGGACTTACCTTACCTTATGTGGGTAATATGGAGTATCAGGACGGGGAAAGATGAGCACAACTGAGGCTGCAGGGAGGTAGGGTGAATAAGAGGATCAGGGCTTCAGTTGTTACATTTTGTAACTGCTTATGAACGGAAATGTAGTTGCAAGGGAGGGTGGCTGGAATGGGATGCAGGGGTTAAACCACAGGTCTCCATGTAACGGTCATATGTGGCTTAATATGAGACAAGAGGGTTCATTTTCAGGACTGCCATTAAAAGGAGTCTGGATGGCTTATGCACAAGCTTGGTAATCAAATAATAAAAGAAAAAGGGTTGCATGGGTTAACATCATAGCTGTACGAGAGTGAAGAAGAAGAGGCTAACACTGCTGGTTTTAGCTGCTGAGACTTGACTGATTGCAAGTTCATGTGCAGCCAGGCAGCAAACAAGTTGCAACACTGCATTCTATCAGAACTCTATAATTCTAAACAGCAAGTGGTGGAATCATTTTGCATGCTAGCATTCTCCCACACACCAGAAAAGAAAAACAAACATAAAAACACAAATGTGAGGTGGCCTTATCAGAAAAATAAAGTTTTTTTTTTCTTTGTTTTTTTTAGAAGCCCTGGGGAATACATGCCAATCAGCCCTTGCTCCCTAAATATGCACCTACCTGGCTACATTACTCACTCCACCTCTTCTATTCATCCTCCCCCTTTTTTTAAACACCCTCCTCCAGATTGCCCCCCCTCCTTATCCCCCCTTCTCAGCTCCATTTCCCTACTCTCCCCCTCCTCTCTCTCTCTTTCTCCCAAGCCTGTGTCCTTGCAGCTGCTTGTTGCTGGGGAGGGTGACGTCATTGCTTCCGCCCCACTTCCTCTGTGTGTGAGTGTCTCCTGCTGGTGGTGCTTGCGGTGGGTGAAGCTTCGTACACACTCACTCACTGAGACCGTGCGAAGGGGGGGGAGACAGACATAGAGAGAGTGAGAGACAGAGGCTCCAGCATGGAGTAACAGGAGATGGGGCTCGGACGGGGCCACCAGCAGCAGCAGCCAGTCGGGCGGGGCAGCAGGGCTGCCTTCTTGTAAGCCAGTCCCTGGGAGGTGCACGGCTGATTACACCGCTGGCCTTGGGGGGAGACCGATTCACTGGAAGGTGGGGGGAGGAGAGAGAGCCGGGGACCCCCTTCTTCTCGCGGAGCCAGTGGGGTATGTGAGGGTAAAGATGAGCAGCTCGGAGCCCCCCGAGACGGGAGACACACGGTGATCGGTACAAAATGAGCGAGGAAGCCTCCCCGGAGGAGTAAGTGCCTGATCCTTGTATTATTATATTTTTTGGGGGGGTGGAGGGGATTGGTAGGATGCAGATGGTGGGGGGGCCTTAATATTTGGGGAGTCCTTGCATTGCACTGAATTGCTCTTCATGGTTGGGGTTTGGTGGCCTCCAGTGTACTCTGTAGAAAGTTGGGGAATGGGCAAGACCTGATTCTTGTATTTGCTCCAGATTCCCCGAAAAATCCATCTAAATTGGGCTGTGCATGCTGAGGGATAGTGGCATTGCCCCCCCCCTTTAGCCCTGCTTTAACACCACCAGTGCTAACCCATCCTGCAGCCAGAGATGCATGGCAGAGCTCCGCATGGCATGCTGCAAGTTAAAGCCCCTGGTATGGCTGTATGCATGGGGCCTGCAGAGCTGTTGCCATGTTACAGGCTGTGTTTTTTTTATGAATAAAAGGCTAGATACAAGCAGAGTTCCAGGTTGTAATGCAAAGAAGGACTAGTTGCAAGAAAGATTTAGTTTTATTTTGATTGTGTTAATGTTTCCATTTAAAAAAAAAATAAAAAAATTTGTTTCTGCATGCCATTTGCAGTTCTCTCACACTTCCACGTCGTGTGTTTATGTAAACCTGTGGCTTTAACCCTATTGCTGCAGGAGGCAGGGCTGCATACTGAGTTATTTGAAAATTTAAGAGTATTTAGTTGCAAAAAGTACATCCTAAATATTTGTGTGTTCGACTTTTTAAAGAAAAATGACAGTGGTTGCATATAAAAAAAAGTTATGCAGTCACTGCGGGTCTGCAGAGAATTTGTGAGTTACGGTAATCTGGTAAATTAGGTAGTTAACCACTTAATGATCAATCATTCTAACAGTTTAGCAGATCAATCTCGACTTTGTGTATGTCCTCGTACAAGGCTAAATCGTATGTCTGTGTAGCAATTTGCCTAACTGACCATAAGGGGTTAACTACTGTCACCTTTAGATGGGTTCCATTCTCTAGCTATCTCAGTCCTGCTGATTTGACGAGTAATTTGCTGCATATGTCAGAATTACTAGTTGGGGGGGAAATGTACAACACCTCTTTGCTGGTCTTAGTTTTGGAAGTCTGTTGTCAATTTTGTTTCTTAGTGAATAAAATCCCCATTGTTTTAAGGCTATGCAGACACTTTTTTTGTTTTGCACAGCTAAAAACAAAAGCGCATAGTGCATGAATTTGTACACTTTGACTCCTGAGTTGTGATGGACTACTATTCTCATAATGCCCAGTTAGCAAAACATGGTCATCAGAAGCTGGTGTGTGAAACAACTTTGTGTGCTGTAGGTGAATGTTTGAACCGTAGCACAGTTTAGAGTTTATTATTGGAAGTCTGTTCATAATACATCTAATAACAAACTTTTGGTGATGTCTGTAATGTATTCCAGTGTTGTTGTTTTTACTATGTGAACAGCAGAACACATATTACTTGCCACATGGAAATCACTAGCCCATTGGTGTGGCAATTAAACTGTAACATTTTGTTTGACCAGTCTATGGAATTTGAGGTTCTGAAATATGACATAATTGGTGCCCAACTCGTTTTAAGTATTGTATTTAGAATCCAGATTACTTTAAAACTCTGCAACATTGGACAGTGTCTGTTGTTAAAATAAATAACTTTGGCATACATTATCAAATATGCAATGAATCTTCAATAATTTGTAGATTGTTGTGTTATATACATCATTCAGTTTGATAGTAAAATCTTTTAGAGATTAAAACAAGCTCTTTTTTGTACCTTTTCACAACTGTACCTGCCAAATTATAGTACCAGCATTCTCTAATTGACAGCGACTTAATGCCTACAGTTTAATGTCAACTTGCATTTTTATCCTTGAATTGCCAACAAGGTTATTGCAAGGAAATGTGTGTACTATAATGACTTTTCCACCTTAAAGGCTGGAAATCATTGTGTCAGTAGTAGTTGGCTATGAAATCATATTCTGTAGTTAAGAATGCATTGCAGTTAGCTATATTGTTCTGCTAATCCAGTTAAAAAAATAAATTTAAAAAAAATCACGAATTGTGTTTTTAATATCAAAGTATCTGAGGCCCATGGCGATGTCTTCCTTCCAAAGGCCTCTTTGTTGAGGTTTGCAAAATATTCAAAAGCTATGGCATTTGTATTGGGTTCCAGTGTTCTATCAGGTGTAAACTGATCTATGAGAGGAGCAGAACTCATCAGGAATGTGCCCTTTTAATGATAATGAATTTGAGAGTATTTAGCAGAAATAACTTCATGGTATGAAATAACTGGTCTTCTTGTAATCACTTGTGTGTGCGCAATGTCTGCATAATATGTAAAATTGCTTTGATAATGGTTGGCATTACACTGAAAAAGTAGCAGTTTTGCAATTTGAATGGGTTAACTTCAAGCTGTCTGAAAAGAACACCTTTAATGAGATGGCTGTGGCATTATAGTTATGCCCTGAAAATAAGGTTTTTGCCCAGCCCCTGGTCCTTGAGAGTTAAGAAAATATTTAGTTTTATACCAGCCCATATATGGCGCTTCGTTTTTTCTTTTAAGTCATTGAGAAGTATTACATCCTTTTCAATCTTTCATGTAAAATCTTCATTGGAAGTGCCCAGATATTGTGCTAACAAATTACATGAATCAACAACAATGGGTTTAAATTCAGCATCTTCAGAATACAGTGGAATAGGTAGGTGTATGCCGGTTTTGTTCAAAGTAGGACTGTGGCCTTGTTTCGGTAAAATTTGGTGTTTGTTCATTCGTATAATTTCTTGTAAAAAGTACTTTTTCATACCTTAGATAATCACTCTTTTCACTAAATTTGCAATTGTTGAGAATTAACAAATGAGCTGTACAATTTGGCCAGAACAGCAGAATTTTGAGAAATTGTGTAACTCAAACATGTTTCCAGATCTTTTTGGCTCAACATATGTTTTCATATTAGTAAATACAACCCACCGTCTGCTCTCCTTTCTAAATCAGATTTCTGCAGATTTCATTAAAAGTGCCTACCTGTATGTGTGGCTTTTTTTTTTTTTTTTGTCAGCCTAACTATATTTCCTTTGTACTTTGCTCCAACATTGATTGTCTGTAAAGTACTGCTTACACTTTGTGTAGCTTGCTCGGACCTTTCTCAAATGTTGGATAAATCTGATATTACTTCTTCCAAAAGCTTGTTTTTCCTCTAATCGTGGAACAGACATTTTTGGTTTCCTTTATAAAAGTAGACTATCAAAGTGATTTCCTCAGGCTGTAAAAAAACATTCTACTCCACCTCAAGCAGGAAAGGAAGGCTTTGTAGCATTTTTAATATGAGCTTGTAAAACCCTGTTAGCACGTGCAATCTTCTAACCTATTGAGCATAGCTTTTGCTTTTAGGAATTTTTTTCTTTTTCAACCCAATTCTTTTGATTGTTGAGTGACCATTGTTTTGGCATTAAAGCATAATTAGGTGAGTCCTCCGCTAAACTTGGAACTGTAGATAATTGACAAGGGAATTTTCAAATATTAGGTTCAATAACCAAAGCATAACTACTTTATTTTTATTGTTTGGCTCTGCTATATTGAAGTACAAACGACAATACCATTGTCAGTTCTCTCATTTAATGAATATCCTCAAATATGTTTTAGAATTTAACAGTTTATTAAAATGTAAAAACAGGGTTTACTCACTAAACAGTTCATTGATGGAATTGTGCAGCCTAAAGCACAGAATTGGGAAATATTCTTTAAGCCAGCTATGCACTTTATGCATGAATACTGCAACTTATTTTGCAATTTACAATAATTCAGTGCTTAGCTTAAACCTAAGCTACATTTCCAACTTAGTATCTGGTCTGAAACTTGCAATTCCCTGGTAAATTCCTTGTTTAGTCAAAAACCTTGTATGAGAGGGTCATGTCGCAAAGCCTAGAAAAGAAAATATGGGATTTTGGATAATGCATTTTTTTTTCTTCCTAATTTTATTATATATTGTATTCGTGCCTAAAGTGTATGTGTAAAAAAAAAAAAAGTTACCTGTTCTATATTTTTCCTGTTTATTTTCCCCCCCCCCCCATTTTGTTTTAATAGAAGGGGTGTCTGAACAGCTAGAATTTTAAATTATTCTCTTTAAATTATGCCATTAATAAATAAACACTGCAACTTTTTATATATGTGTGTGTGTGTATATATATATGTGTGTGTGAATGAACCATACCAAACCATCTGGGCAGTGTAATGACCCCTGTGGTCCCCACCTATGGTGTCTGGTGGTTTATTTGGGGACATCTGGCAAATATTTGGCAGCAGCCCCAGTCCTAACACAGTGCACCATGGGTAGGTCCTCAGCTGTTATTCCAGAACTACAACTCCCATGACGCTTTGCCATCCCCAAGGCTTGCAGAGCAGTGTGGGAGTTGTAGTACAGGCTGTGGTGTGAGCTGTGCTCTCCCTCCGCCATGCTTGTGGTTTATTTTCCTGTCACGTTGTTATTCATATGCAGGCTGCCGCTCATTCATAAAACGCTCACCGCGGGCAGGCGAGGTGGGTGTGAGACGACCTGCAGAGGGTGGGGGCAGGGGGCGTGCTGCTGCTCCCCCTGGATTCCCCCGCAGGCCGCGCGGCTGGGTGGGGTCGGATGTTAGTGCCATGGAACGGGTCAGGGCTGGATAGGAGGGGCGGGGTCAGGGCTGTCGATTAGCATAACGGGGCGTGTTCAAAGGGTTAGAGGAGGCGGGGCGGTTGGTTACAGCGCGGGGGGAGTGGGCGTGGCCGGTGGATGTCGCTCGGATTCCGTATCTGGAGAAAGAGAGAGCGCGCGCGCCGGCACGGACCTATTTGTGAATAGAAGCAGAGTGTGGGCGCGGTCACGTGACCGCAGCCATTCATAAATTCTGCAGTCCCTTCCCAGGCTCCCGTGCGGCCGGCCGGCTTGCTATGACGCACTGCCAGGAGAGATGGACCTGCCGCCATGTTTATCATGGGCAGAAAGGGGCAAGTCTGGGGAGACGTGGTGGTGGATGTTGAGACGTGCTAGTGGTTTCTATGCTGGCTGCACCATACTTGGCACTCTGCTACCAAAATTGATTGATTTTTTTTTTTTTTTTGGCTTTGATTTATTTGACCTGGTTGCCTGTGGCTGTCTCCCTCAGTTAATGTTTCTAATGATAAGTCCTGCTAGAACCTAGGGACTGCTAATGTTAACCACTTATTTACCAGGCAGGCAAACCATTTATTGGGGTAACATGTCACTTGTCATTGGTAGTGAATAGCCTTCCATTGCGAAAGGAATTATAATTATTATATATTTTTTTTTTTTTAGACCTAGCTGGGAAAATCAACAACTTGAGATTTGTTCCCCACACCCCCCTCGAACATTCTAAATTAAACTATTTTAGAAGACCGAAGATGTTTTCAGTGCGGCTCTTGTGATAGACTGCTGCATTAAACTGTAATTTCGCTAAAGTGAAAATTCAAATTTAAGGTCGTAATACCCAAACTGGTAAATGAGGGAATCTCCTAATTTAGCCCTGCTCCCAGATTGTATAATTGTATCCTTTAAATTTGAAATTCACTTGGAAATCTTACTAAAGTGAGTAATCATGTAAGAATTTTGTTGTAGACCGTGCATAGAAATGGTTGCAAAATGATTTTAATCTTGATGAAATTTTGTAAACCTGGAAATAAAATATTTCATTATCACATCTGTGGCTGAAAGGCATTAAATAATTGTACTCCTCATTCATGATGGATGGAAACATTATATAAGTGTATATGCCAATGTATCAGAGGTGCTTATTTTACCATCTTGATTAGGGGGGGCTCTCACTATGGCCACATTTTAGTCCTAATTGGCCATTTAGTCCAGTCTCAGCATGTCACTTGACCTTTGACATTAAATGTTGCTGTGCCCAATCAAGTACAAACATATGTTTTCAATCCATGTGGGTTTCTTTGTCTCCTTGCGGCTTTATACATCCTGCCTGGAAGGTCTGTCTCAAACACAAGGGAATAAAATGTTTGCATATCTCATGTAGAATCAAAAAATACAAATCCTAATTAACATGTGTTTTGATCTATAACATATGGTGATCAAACAGGAACATAACTGGTTATTTCTATTTTGAAGTTTTTTTGTTTTTTTTCTTCTATAAAACATATGTAGATCTTTAACTAAAAAAAAAAGTATTGCACTTGGTTTGAACTATTGTAAATATATTGGGATTGCATGTAACTAAAGCTGCAGTTTTGAGTTGTTTTTCAAATGTGTTTTTAAGGCTTGTATATTTTGGACAGCAAACATTTTTTGCTGAAGGAATTCTGAGCTTGCCATATTAGTTACAGAAACAAGCATTATGTTGCAGGACATTCAGTCGTTCATATATTTGAAACCGTGATGTGCTTTTACAAGTACATCCAGGGCTGTTAACTAAACTCATTTATTGAGAGATATATGGCAACATTTGCACTAAAGTAGCTTATTTGTAATAAGTATCCAACGCCGCTGTATTCTGTATAGGCATTGTTAGCCTCAATTTTGTAATTTTGGTTTCTTTTTGCTGTAAGTAACAGTTTAGTGAATATTCCAAAATGCCATATGTATCTGGTTATTTGATCACTGTACATCTGTTGTACAATAGACCAGGGCTCAAAATATCACTCTACTAGCCATAGACCAGCCAAAATTCAGCCATGGTGAGTAGAAATTTACCTCTAGTCAGTGTGCTATCTAGGTGTGCATTGGCTATCAGCTTTTAGATCTGGCTAGTAGTGTAGGATTTCAAATATTGAGCCTTGCAAATAGACCATGCACTAACGCTGTGCTTTTTGCTATATTTTGTATGGCCTTCTGGAAGATGTGTAAACAAAATAGGTTTTGGTGGTGACAGTGGGTTTTATTTCTTTATTTTCAATGTACACCATTCTAGCAAGGGTGCAATAGATTTATCAATCTTTAACTCGCTTTTCCCTTCTCTATTTTTTTTTTTTTTTCCACCTACCTGTACGGTTTGAAAGCAGGAGATGATTTTACATTTTCAACAACTTTACTTTACGTGTGACAGAGATTTTCTTTCCTGTATGGGCAGGTAATCATAGCCAGTGTATAAATGGGGATGAGAGAGGCTTTATGAATTAGATTTTAAACTGCAAAATGCATGAAAATAAAAACGTTTATACTCTATTCTGGTGTGGAAGGGGTTAAAGGGACATTAAAGGAACTCAGACCACGTAATTGAGATCATGTGATCTTGGTGCAGTGCCCCTGTTAATTTACTCCTGCAATCTAAAACATTGCTGTTTAGTTGATATGAGTATGTTTTTCATTTCAGAGCTAAACACTACTGTAGGCCAGAGGCAGACATTTGGCACTCCAGATGTCCACATCTCCCCTGAAGCTTTGCCGACGTAATGTCTTTAAGGGGATTATGGGAGATGTAGTCCACAACATCTGGAGTGCCAAAGGTTGCCTACCCTTGCTCTATACACCAGAGTGTGTTTTTGTGGCAGCAACTGAGTTTAACTCAATTATGTTTTATCCAACATCATCAAATGCTGATTATAGTGATGTATTGCATTCTTTGCTTCTCTGTGAGTAGCATTTGAATGGAGGAGAATAGCATTAATACACAAAAACTGCTTCATTAACTTAAAATTGTTTTGGTGACTATAGTGTCCCTTTAAATTCCGAAATGTGTGCACTTTTGAATAGTTACCAGAATTCCTTCTGTATTCTGTAGTGGACCACTTTTCATGTGCTGCCCATCAACGTGTTATGTGTTCAGGGATGCATGGTGAATCTGGCAACCCTGGTTTTTGGAGATATTTGTAAATAATTTAAATCTGTTTGCTGGCAGGTGTATTTCCTATTGTATCTTCTAGCAGTGGTTTTTCCTTTTGTTATCCTAATCTAACCTGAATCTTGCAGTCTCTGAAGTACATTTTTATGTTACAATTGTGTTGCCCTGTGCTATGCTGCTGTTTAGGTTCTGATCTTTTGTGGTTTTGAAGGTCTTACCCACCCCCTTTTCTTTAATTTTCTTTCTCTTTAGTAACATTGAAATCTCTGTGGGAGGTCTGGACTTCCGCACTTCATGTTTCTAATTATGTGCCTAGGATAAACGCTAATCCATATGTACATGTGTTATAAACATGACATGCACTCAACCCCCATAGGCCTTTTTTGAGTTTGGCAAAACATAATTCACAAATACAGGCAAAATGTCTAAGCCGTACAATACATGCAGGCTATAATCTATGTATTAGAATTCTTATTTTGTTACTATCTTGACCTGTATCTGCTGTTGGATTACCCCTTTAAGACAGTCTTTTGTTGTCCTGGTGTTTTCTCCTACTGGTTTACAATACTTAATTAGTATTAGTTGCAGATGTTTGCATTGTTAGCATAATCTCAATCATTGCCCTTTTAAGGAGGGGGCAGGGGGGGAGGAAGATGTGCACAAAACGCCTAGTAGATGTTAATATGGTCATGCTTTTGTTTTTGCATAATTAAAATTAATTTTAAAAAAAAATTTTAAACCCAAACCCCTTCCTTATGGTTTTGCAATTTTATTTATTGTTTGCAATTCTGCGCTTATTGAATAGCTGTCATATATGTTGGTACAGGGGTAATTGTGATTAAAGATTGGAAGTATTGTCAAGTAATCTGGTCAATAACAAAGTAGCATTCAACTAGCCACTCTCCAGTGTGCCACTATGAAATTCGTGCTGCATTTATAAGATGTGGTAAAATAGACCTCTTATATTTGCATAGAGGTGGCCAATTCTCTGCCATATAGCCAGCATTCTGGAGAAGCTTTAGGGGAGTATGTGGAAATTTTCTAAGGGGTTTGGTACCAGTGAGTGTGAATCTTAAAGCTTGTTTCTTGGTACTTCGTGCATATGGAGGATTTATGTGTTTATGTCTTTAATTCTCAAGAGATTGCAGGTTCATTGAGATCAGAAATCACAGTATTCTTGCCAGCGTGAATGTTGGGCTTTCCAATATTGCCGTCAGGGGAGAAGGGATGGAGGATATAGAAAATCTCGCTATCTAATGGGACCATGTCTTAAGGATAGGAGAGACCGTATGATGGCTCCCTGCAGTCTTCACCTGTGGATGTGGTGGCAACCAGGGAAGGGTAAAAGCACATAGTCTCAAATTCTGTGTAAATCCATATTTTCTAGGGAGAAGATATAGACAATTGTATGATGTGTTGCATGTGGATCACATTATGGTATATAGATATGTAGGGTAATCCTAATTCCACCTTCTTTTAGGTTGTGTAAGAATACTACATTTTAATCTCGCTTTGCGATTGTTCCAGAAATGAAGGCGCTTTGTATAAGGGAGAAAAAACAGGTTGGGATTACTACAGGCAACGTGTGTAAATGATGTAGAATTCAAGGGAGGATATTTAATCTTAAGAGTTAGTATTCTATTTAGGCATGTTATATGTGGGAGGGCCCAGTTTTTTGTAAATTTTTTGAAGTCTGTTGTAGGAGTGGCGTGAAGTTAAGGTCAAACGTTTTGGCCAAGTTAGAGAATGGTTTAGTTCCCAGGTAGGTAATGGAGTCCTTAACACATTTACATGGAATAAGCAAAAACAATATTACAAGATTTATCGTGGTTTTTGAGTGGAGCGCTAAAAATATTGCATGCAATAATTGCTTACCTCTAATAAACTGATGCAAAGAAAAATAAAACCAAACTAGTGCAGATGGTATTTTACAACGTGCAAATGTGCATACGCAATATAGGAGGCTGCACTCACAATTTTCATAGCCTGAGTGATAAGGCTCTTCAGAAGAATTCCACTCTCAAGGTAAGTAAGCAGAGACAAGATAGGGGATAATGGTGTAGTGTATCTATATAAATAGTGAGCTTAAAATCAGTATATAAAACTCTCACCTTACTTTAGAGCTTTGTATTGCCTTGGCTTTAAGGTGGAAACACTTGGTGTCAGATTGTTAGGTGACACCCCCAGACTGGAACCTGGAGCAAGATAGATTACCAGTTGTGCTAAAAATTGGATATCTATTAGATAAAACCATAAATGCAAACATTTAAAACACATGCAATATGCACCCATCACATTGACTTCTTTTTGAGTTATTCTTGTCTTTCACATTTACACGGAAACGTGGAGTTTCACAAGTTTAACATTCTACATCTCTAAGTAGGTGACAGGCATCCTTTTGATCTACAGAAACTATTTTAATGTGTTTTATTATTATTATAAATTCCGTAGCGCTGTACAATGGTTTATTTTTATTTTATTTATTTTTTTAAAATTAATTTAATCATGCATATAGGGTACACGTAGGCAAGCAATGCCCCAACAGCTGTTGCTAGCTTAACATTCAACATTAGAAAACATTTGTTGGCATCTATTAACATAGCACTTTTTATATTTTATAAGTACGTTATACAAGACATATATCAGCCAGTGAGCCCCTTGTGGGTGTGGAAAGAGTGGAAGTCAGTTTGGTGATACCCACAATGGGGTTGTGCCTCCTTCCTATAGACTGTGTGGTGCATTAGAGTTGGTTACCCGGCAGGAGGGGGGTGGTAGGGATTTGTTAGCGAGAGTGTTTACTCTGCCATGCGGTGTGTTGGGCAACAGTTAACAAGTGTTAATACATCCTCTCTTTGTGCTTTCGTAGTGCTTGCGTATGAAACTGCTTGGGTTGATCACATAATAGGCTAATGGACTTTGCAAGTATATTACGGGTTGCGCAATAAGAAAAAATTAATTTTTTTTTTTTTTAGTAGATTTGAAACATAAACAAAGGAGAACATAGATGTATATAAGATTAAACATTCTCTAACTGTGGTAGACATGGTGTGTGATGATGGTGGATTACAAAAGTCCCCTTGGGTGGTTGAGCTTCTGCTCCCTCAAGTGGGTGAGCTGTTAGGTGAGACTCTGTGTTTTCCTCTCGGGGTAAATTCCAGAATGGTAGCTGGGTTCAGCTGGGACAGTCCTGTTCCAGTTGGCGGTAAGGCCCGGCATACTCCTGTTGATTGTAGGTGTGCTTCCAGCTCCTGATATGGTTTAGGTAGCCGGAACATACCATCTAGCTTCAGGGATTTTGCCAGTTTTGGTGGTAGCAAGCCTCCAATGAAGCACTGTATGTAGTGGGGCAGGTCAGCAATGTCGACAGTCAGGTATCCCCTTGACTTTCAGATTTGTATCGCCTTCTCTGATCCTCCATAGCGTCTAGCCTATCTGATGTGGCTAGTTGCTGCCGTGCCAAGTCTGCTACCTGCTGTTCCACCTTGGTGATTCTGGTGTCGTGGTTACTGGAGTTGGCCTCCAGCTGTGAGATTTTTGATGCGGCCCCTTCAATGGCCTCTTTAAAGCAAGCCATGTAAGTTGCTAGGTCTTTGCGGAGATCTGCCAGCATCCTTTTAATTTGGTCTGCAGTGACCTGGTCCCCGGTCTTCTGTGGTGCTGTTTTGCAGTCTGTTGTGGGCTCAAAGGGTGTTCCTTCCAGGAGGTCTGATGTGAACTCCTCCAAGGAGTAGGAGGTAAGGTCGCCGGCAAGCGCCATTTTGGACCACGCGGCCTGCTGCGAGTTCTGCAGCATGTCTCCGATGTCTCTCCCTTGGGAGCTTTTGTTCGCTTTTGGTTTTTTTTGTTTGTTTTGCGGCCCATATTGTGTCTGCCGGCTGTAGTGAGGTTTGTGGGGTATTTGAGCCCTGGATTCCACCATAAAAGCCTCGTTAGGGTAAGTTAGAGCTGGTGCTCCGAGATTTGCTACCGCTTTGTTGCACTGCTAGCTCCGCCCCCCTGTACAATGGGTTCTTGATGACCAACTAGGCAATTGTGAATGGTTGTCTCCACAGGCACACTATATCAGTAATGGTAGGTATGACTTCTTTCTACTCTTGTCTCTTTTTAATCTTAAAGTATCTTTGTCAGTTGTGGGACATTTGCAATTTTATTTATTTTCGGTGTGTGTGTGTGTGTGTGTGTGTGTGTGTGTGTGTGTGTATATATATATATATATTTTTATATATATATATATAATGTGTGTCTGTATCTCATGCAGAATATTTAAACTACATACATATAAATGTTCTCATAAAAAAATGTTTATATCCAGATATACTGTCCCTTTAAGGTAGTTTATTTTTTTTTTTTATTATTATTTATTTATTTATTTATTTATTTTAAGGGTCTTGACTTTATGGGGTTGAATGTAGTCCGGACTGACAAATTTTAAAGTAAAAAAAACACATGGATTTTTTATATTTATTAAAGGCAAATTTGGGTGAGAATTAGTTTTACTAACAAAATGAGCACATCTCATTTAGTACAATCCATTGTCTACTTTTAAGATTTACTCGAAGTACCATAACCACCTCTGCACATTCTAACATTCAGTCCTCTGCTCAGCAACCTGCCTTGCGGCCTCCGGGCTGATTTGCCATTAAATGCAATTCATGAAAAATGCCCAGTTCAAACTCCAAAGTTGAGGTTCAACATACTTGCTTTTTTCCAGTGCACAAACTCTAGCGACGTTGCTCACCTCTCTACCTCTCGTGGCATCATCGAGAGGGCATGACCTTCTCCAGAAATGATCCTTATTGGAGACCTGATGCAATGCATTTCAGTGCAATGGAATCACCTCTAGTAGCTGACAACCCTGTAATGTAATCCAAAACAACAATATTTTACATTGCTAAATTTAAAACGAAAGGATTCACAGGTTGAGTGTTCTGGGTCATTATAGTGGTCCTTCAAACCTTTCGTTTGCATAACTTTGACCAATCTCGGCAGAGTTGCTCAACCAAACAATCTATATGTCCACCAGGGTTTAAAAAACTTGATATTTGGTTACCACATGGAACTGCATTGGTCCTTACACTGTGACTTTTAATTTGTTTGGTGCAAATCGATATTTGAGTAAATGTTGGCATTGGCTTTTTTATTTAACATTATACCAAATTACCATTTTCTGCTCTGTCCTTAGCATATTGTTGATTGATTTTTTTTTTTTTTAAAGTTACAATCTTTGATTTGATGTCCTGCGTCAAAATTAAGACAACTGTTTCTGCTGAGAGAATACGTTATATCTTTTTGAAAGAAAAAAAAAAAATATCCCCCTTTTTTACTGATTCATTTGTTGGGTAATTGTTTAACTTGCACGACTTTTGTGATTTGGGGTCTACGTTTTGTCTAAATTAGTCAAGTAATGATCGTAGCAGAGTTAGAACTTTTCTAATCCATATGTCTTAAAGAGTACCAGGGTCCTACGAAATAGGAAAACAATTTGATCTTCAATAGAAATTTGCAGTCTGCATTCTTCTCCTGCATATGGTAATCCAGGGACCCATGTGTTTTATGAACTATAATTCTCATGATGCTCTTATGGCTCGAGGTTTGAACTCATTCACTGTAAGTCCGATGCTTGCTCCAAGTGGAAATTATTCCAGTTTTACAAAACTCTGTTAAAGAAATTCACGTTTGTGAAATATTTCTCATGATGCTGCTTCAGTCTCAAACATTAGCACTGCCTCATGGAAAATGTCTGGTTTCTAGTTGAACGTTACATTTACATAGTGGGTTACACACAAGGGTTAAAGGGACACTATAGTCACCTGAACAACTTCAGCTTAATGAGGTTGTTCAGGTGAGAACTATAGCTCCCTGCAGCCTTTGTCATGTAAACACTGTATTTTCTGAGAAAATAGTGTTTACATTGAAAGCTATGAACACCTCCAGTTGCAGTCACTCAGAGAGAACCAGAGGGACTTCGGAGTTGATGGAGGCATAATATGCCTCCATCCACTCAGATCTGCTCTCAGCAGAGCACAGGGCAGCACTGTGCACAGCGTCCTGTGATTCAGTATTTTCTACCTCTGCATGCAGACACTGAACTTTCCTCATAGAGATTAATTGATTAAATTCATCTCTATGAGGAGATGCTGATTGGCCAGGGCTGTGTTTGAATCATGCTGGCTCTGCCCCTGATCTGCCTCTTTGTCAGTCTCAGCCAATCCTATGGGGAAGCACTGTGAGCAGCTTCAGGCTTGAATACAGTAAGATTTTGCTATATTTATGGAGCCATGAGGGGCCATGCAGAGCGTGGAGACGCTGAACTGAAGTGCTGCCTACTGTGCAGCACTGAGCCAGGAAGCATCTCCAGTGGCCACTTGGAGGTGTCCCTAGGGGCAATGTAAACCCTACCTTTTCTCTGAAAAGGCAGTGTTTGCATGAAAATACCTAAAGGCAATGATTATACTCACCAGAACAACATTTAAGCTGTAGTTGTTCTGGTGACTAGTGTCCCTTTAAGTCATTTCATTTAACTTGTCATGATTTTTGTTGTGTTTTTTATTTTAATTTTTTATAATATTTTAAAATATAGTGTTTAAACTTAGCTCAAATTCCCTTTCCTGTCCGACATTATCTGAACAGATTCCGGATGGATAGCATTAGTCTTGATGATTAACAATCAAGTTGATGCAAATCAGAGTAAAAACAAGAAATTGCCTGCAGCCATTGTCTGCGCACCCATCTGCAACTGCCGGAAACATGCCAAGAGGCCTTACAGTAATTGTTTACAGCTTATTCTAGTATTTGCATGCTCGCAGTCCCAAACTTGCTAAGTAATTCCAGGCTCCTTCCTATTCACAAGTTTACTTATTGTACACAAGACGCTTTTTGAACTGGAATTTAAGAGCGTATTTGTACAAGTGTTTTATGTATCTTTCCAATGCTTCAGAATTTTAATATATTGGCATGCAGTGATGGAGATCTGGAGATCCCAGCCAAACTCTTCCACTTAAAGCCATAGAAAGAAGAAGTGTACATGTGACAATAAGATTGCACGTGCATTAAATTCACCGGGAGCCGTATGCATAGTCAATCGTGGATGCCTGCTAGCATTGATTTCTGTTTCGTATTCTGTGATGACAAAGTAATAAGCATTTAAATATACTCTTTGGAGCTGTAAAAATGAGTGGAAGGAGGATGTATAAAGGTAGGAAACGGTTTTCCCCCTTCTACAGCTATTGATTTACTATAATAATTACGCTATTTCAAAGATTGTTTGCTAAATACTGTATGCCGTTCAACGGATGAACCCAGATTGCATTGACCCCCTTCCAGAAAAAATGCAAAAAGTGATAGATAAAATACTAACCAATTGCTTGTCCACTCCTATGATCTCTTCCCCCCCCCCCCCCTTTTTTTTTTTTTTTTTATAAATCTTGATATGCTTTAGCATAGGAGGATCAGCCATGATGTGCGTTGACTTGTGTTAATGGTCTGTAATTTCTGCCAGAGATAGAATCAGAGTCTCCTTGAAACACCATAATTAAAGTTTCAAGTAGTGCCAGAAAAATGCAGGAAATGATGGCACTTAAAATACTTGGCAATTTCTTGCCCTCTCTCCTCTTTTCTCCTTTTATTTACAGTTTGTGGTTACATCTAATTTTTCTTCTGACCGGTACCGAAGCCCCAATAAAGTGTGGTTAAATGCAACGATAATAAGAGACTTTGCATAGAGGTTCTGATTATTTTTTTAATTGGTTGATTATAAAGGTGTAAGTTCTGAGATTCTGAGAATTTGACTTTTTGAACTAAGAATGTAGTTAAGCTGTTTAAATGCTATAAAGTCACAAAGCTTATAGTGGATCTCTCAGTTCTCGGGGTATTTACATATTTTACATAGACCTTGGAAAGGTACATGCCCACTTGGTGTGTGACAACCTGGAGGAGAGGCAAATGGATGATATTCTTACCTATGGCTCTCCTTTGTCACTGTTTATACGCTCACACGTTCAGGTTTTTGGAAATAGCAGAATCCTCCGTAGAACTTGTAATTTTCAAGAATATACATTTTTCTACAGGGACAACCTCAGCCTTTTTATTTTTTTTATTTTTTTTTTTTATTTATTCCCTCCCCAACTCCTTTCCAACTCTTTTCCAAAAAATTTGTTTGGTTTCTATTCAGAAATGTCCTAATTTTGAAGGACATTGAAACGGCCTGAATTTAGTCTGGATTTAAGCCATATCGAACCCCGTTGAACGTCTGGAATTCGGACTAGATACTTCAAATCCGAGCCCAAACTTTAAAATATCCGAACTATTTGCAGCTTGCTGCCATCGGGCAAATAATTTTAAAAAAAATCAACAAAAAAACCCAAAAACCTCAGCAGGGTTAGCCTTCGTAATCCGCTGCCACGGATTTAAAATGAATCAAAATGCTATGGGGGGTTGGGGGGTTAATGTATTATTGTGAAGGAGGTTTAAAACCTCTCTATGCCAACCTTCAATGGGCATGTTGTAGGATATCTCCTTATCTGCCAGGAGACAAATAGTACTTAAAATAATTTGTTTGCGGGAAAACAAGTTAACTATAATGTGCAAATCCAGCATTGTGAATATTCCAAATCCTATATTTTGTATATACTACTCAAATTTGAAAGCACAGATTTTTATCCGGACACCAAATGCATCAATGTTATTGCTGCAGATTTGACTGAGCTGTCCGAATTCCAAACACATTTGGCTCTAGTAAATATGAGAATTGCCATTGCAGTCGGAATTACTGTGAAAGCACTTGTGTTAGGATATGTGTTCATTACATAGGAATTGTGGCTCTGTCAATGTAAGTATTTATTTCATATACTACTCAGGTTTTATGCCAGCGAAAGACACACAAGTGTCAGAACCACGCTATTTGTTGGGCTAGGACTGGAGCATCTTTTGCGTCCCCATGCCTATCTACGTTAAATCTTCCAAAACCAAGAGAAAATTATAATTGTATTACATAATTTTCACTTTTCATGTTAGTAGACTGCAGAATGATGAGATGTGCAACAGTACCCGTTTTTAATATGTTTAGAATATAATGAACAGTGTATTATATGACCTAATGCCACTAAGCAATGAGACAAAAATAGTATATTTTCTAAACTTAGATTCAGCTTTCAACGTCCCTTGAGGTTGTGTGTTTTTATAATAACCTGTTGATCTAGATGAGAACTGTTATCATATCTATTGGACTGAATCTCCTAGTCGTTTGAATGTTTGCCCTATGAGTTACGTGACAGGTGACAATACTTTAACATCTCCACATTAAAAAGGTTGGCTTGCACTTAACTTCCTCATGGTGGTGATGGCAATTATCCAGCGTAATTACTAATTAGCATGTCTGTAGTTAGTCAATATATATTGGTGTGTAGGTGTGATTCAAGCCTGCAAATTTTATACATGCTCCATGCCACTATATTCCATTTCAACAGTCCTGTGCTACCCATCTGGGTTAATATCCTAAAATATAAATGAAAAGGTGAATCTCTACATATTTATTTAAAAGTTGGTTTCCCAAAGTAGCTTTTATTTCTTTAGATTTCTGAGCCATGGGGAGTGGGAAGGGGGGGGATCCATTAAATGTTTTTCAGGATTGTGACACTCCCTCTGTTCGTTTCTCATGTGAGATCATCAATCTTGCTAACCTCTCGTCCAGTTAGATACTTCTCATAGTAATTGCCAATTCAGTGCTTCACAGAGAAGCTGTGGTGACCTTGAAGACCTAGACTCTAGTCAACTGTTTGTCTGACGGCAACTAGAGGCATGTTTTGGACAAGCGTAAACTTGGCTGTTTCGCAGAAACCACATTTACATTGCCCAAGAAGAGGGACAGCATCCAAACACCAAAACCAGTATTCTACATGTGTTATGGTGCTTAGGGTCCTTTTAAATACAGTCCATTATCAGAAAAGTTTAATCACAATTGAGACCTTTTCTCATGTCGTTGTTTTGAAAGGTACATTCAGAATTGTAAAACACTATGACTGGCAAAACAGTGCCAAAGACTCAGAAAACCTGACTCTGTGGGGCCACCAGAATTTGGTAGTTCTGCTTATCTAGATGTGTCTATGTTGTAAAATAAACATTTTTATAGTGTGCCCTTTTATTGAGGAATGTGTGAACAGATTGACTTCTAAAACCCTTCTTGTGATGCCATGTAACTGAAGTGTAATTTTAAAGGGAATCTTTGGGGACACTTTCAATCGTTGAGGTCTGTCCCAGTTGCTTTCTAAAGACTGTAATAGATACGTTAGTTGGCTGGCTGTTTCTAGAATTCTGGACAGTCTCAGACAGAAACATAAATACAGTTTGAATTTCTAATAATAAAATCTATATTTTTAGATCTTCTAGTTTTATAGAGGAGTACACTCATGGTCGTATTTAAAGAAACAAAACAAACAAGGTCTGTGCTGCCTTGATACAAAGCTATTTAAACTTTGCTTTGTAAATGTCTGTCAAATTGTGTTGAAATCCACAATTTAGTGTTGCTAAATGGAAGCTTGCTTTTAGATGTCAAATGTAATTTCGAGTTGTATAGTCTTTTTAAATATATCGTCTGACAGTATTGTGGTTATGTTGTGTACCAAGGCAATGAAACCAGACCTAAAATTCCACCTATTTATAGATTAGGGATGGGAGTAATTGATCAGTGTGATTGGTAAGATCATTGCTTTCTGCGTTACTATACTAAATAGCAATGTTTCTTTCGCCTGATGACTTTTAAAGGAACACAATAGTGTTTGGAATACAAAGCTGTATTCCTAACTTTATAAGAACCCTCTGCCTACCTCTCCCTCGGTGCTCGGTTGGTCTCCGCCAAAGTCAGCTGATTTGGGGAGGGGGGTCTAATGTGCATTTGTGGCAAGCATCACGCCCATTAACCTTTTCCTGTAGGAATCCATTGAATCAATGATTTCCTATGTAGATTTGAAGACGCTGGACTTAATAATGTAAAGTGTGAGGAGTAGGACACCTTGTGAAACTCTAGGGTGCGCCTCTAGTGGCTTTCTGATAGACAATGAGATGAAGTGGTCTTGGTGTATATAGTGTCTTTTTAATCTGATTTGATCACAGATTAGGAGGACATTATAGGCTAGGTATACAATTTTGTATTGCTAGCCTAGAGTTTCCCTTTAAGAATAAAATGGTCTACTTTGTGGGCCTCTTATGTTTTGTAACATTTTTTTCTGGAGACTTTTTTGTGATAAAATGCTGGCGTGAAAATGGCCTCCATTCATGAGGGCCTTTCTCTCTCCTACAAAAAAGTAACATTCGCTATATTGTTAAAATGTACGGAAATACACATACCTGTACTCAAGAGCATACTATAGAACCAAAGCACACAGTGTGTGTGTGTGTGTATGTATGTATATGTGTGTGTGTATATATATATATATATATATATATATATATATAGAGAGAGAGAGAGAGAGAGAGAGAGAGAGAGAGAGAGAGACCTTCGTTTCTACCTTGCTTACAAGAATGGTCATGTTTACAAGGTTACCCTTTTTACATCTTTACAGACCCTTGTTTTCCCCTTTCCTATTGTATCTGTCTGCAACAATTGCGGATTATTGCTGTGCTCCAAGCATCCATATCCTTCTAGAATGAAGAATCAATGGGATCTACATGTCTCAACACCAGCACAGTGCTCTTCAAAATAGTTAATCACCAGGTGCAAGTCCTGGAGATGCATGCTGCTCCCCCTGCACAATGATAGTTCCATATGTATTTTGTTGTTTTCTTACAGACTTTCTCAGACAGACATGACTTGTACAGTTGGAATGGAGTTCATACACCTTATATTTTGTTTGCACTGTAGTTTTAATATGTACCCACTCTGTTTGTTCTTTGGATACAATTCACACCCTAGAGATATATTGTGTTATAGTATTATTCTTTCTTCAGAGGATGTTTCACTCTAGTTATGTTTTAAAGCCTGTGTCTTTTCCATTATTCTTTATTAATACTTAGAGACTCAAATGACCTGGTTCTCCGCAGACCAGTTGTGGTACTAATTGTCTCCTTTTGCCTTTTATAACTTTTAGTATGTACTGTTAAGCCGGTATGCCTCCCCATCTCACATCATGATTTACTTTTTTATATTTATCTGTATAATTTTTTTTTTTTTTTTTCCACTTGTACCATTACAAAGAGAAAGTAGATCTATAAGATTAAATGGATCTCACCTCTCAAAGACAGTCCAATGCCAAAATGCTTGCAAACCTGTCTGTATGAATGACAAAGCAGATATCCTTGCCATTCATTTTGATCATCTTTGGGCCTGGTCAGTGAGGTGTAGCTAATAGATATCTAGGCACAGTGAGTACGTTGTCCGTAATTAGATTTTTGGAAGACCATAGGCAAATGAGTCATAAACCGAAAATATAAAATGCTCAATGGCTCCTTTTGTTAGTGAGACTAGTCTAATAAAAATCTGGCCTAGGTTCTGTCTGGAAGGGCATAAGTGAGCGAAAACTTGTTTGAGATTAACTGTAGGGCAGGCTATGAAGTTTTCAGTTCTCTCATATCTGCTTTTTATTTTATTTTTTTAGTAGCTCTTACTTCTTCACATCAGATTTCGGAATGTTTTATTATTCCTGAATTTATTACATCATGCTGAGCTGACAGGAATTGTTATTCTATCACAGATTTATAAACTTTGATCATGGAAGCTTTTACACCACTTTAGTACATGATCTTAAAGAGATCTCCCCATCCATAAAGAATATTCTCATTTCTTTTCTAATGGAGGCACATACCGTTAAGTGATGCTGTAGCCAGTTCCTAAAGCAGTTACTTGTGACAACTGGTCAATTTCTTTCATAAGCAGCAGAGATTGCATCTTTCTCTGTAAACCTGAAACTAGTAAAATACAATCTGATTTTGACTTTAAAACTTTGGAAATGCTATACACCTTGTATCAGAGATTCCCAAATTTCAAGTGAAACTAAACTTGCTAGAATGTCTTATTGTGGTTTCCATGCATTTAAACAACAACAAAAAACACACCTTTCCTTATAAGCTACATATGCGTATAAAGCCTTGTGTAAAGTGACCGTCTCGGAGGGGGGACCAGCATAGCACATACTCTTTCATAGTTTCAGTAAATCGCTTGCACATCCAGAAATGAGTGTTCTTCTTAAAAGGTGAATTAAATCCCATGCAAGCTAACTGAATCTGTGCTGCAGATTCACATATATTGTATTGTTTTTTTCTGTATTGGACTGTATAGCTTTCAGTAGAAAGCAGAACGATAAAGGGTATTTAAAATATAAAATAAAAAAATTTATTTAAAAGGGGTTGTGCGGTGGGTGTGTCCCTTTAACAGTTGCCTGTGACCTTTTATTTAATCTACATCTTCTTTAACCATTTTCAGTAGACCGTAGATACATTTACAGATTCTTTTTGTCCTTATCCTACACTTAAATTCTGGTAAGACATTACTAAAGTCTAATCTTGCTAAAGGTTACAAGTTAGTGAGTAAAAAAATAGCATTACTAGTCCATTGTATAAAAAAAAAATTGATTGTGTTATGATGCACGTTGGTGAACATTTGTGTGTGTGTGTGTGTGTGCGTATAACCTCGTCGCACAAAAACACGATTTAGATAAAATTGTTACCACAAGAAAACGCTAAAGAGCTTCTGGATGAGCTGCTAACTGATGATAAAAACAGACCATATTTTTGATTACGTCTCCTTCCAAGATATTCTTTTGATGTAAGGGAATGCATAGACATGATTATTATAACATATGGTATATAACCTTGAGAGCAGATAGAACTCCGGGGCTATTACATGTTTTAAAATTATAATTTTTTGCATGTGAAATTCTGGACGTTAATGTGACTAGGGAATAGAAAGCATAGACATTTTACTTTATTTCCCTATACATGTTGGTTTCTGGATGGCCACATGTATTTTATGTTAACTTTTTTCACACAGCTGAACAAGCATTGTACATGGCACAAATGAAAAACTATAGGTATAGTGGACCTTTTTTCCCCACCCTTCTTAAAATTGCAAGTCAATAAATGTAAGTTTTTCTTTATTTTATACTTTTTATGTATTTTTTTTTTTTTTTGATTTTTTTTGTGTGTGCAGTTTTTATATAAAATTATATCCATTTTGTATGCATTTTTAGGTTTTTGCTTCCTCTGTTTCCTTGATCAGAAAGAAAAATGTTTTTGTCAAATGAATAGCCCACCCAATATGTTAAAAATAAACTTCCAGAGCTTCCTGTTTTTTAGTTTGTCTAGTTCCTAAGCATCACATATTTATTTATATATTTATTTTTTGGTCATTATTACTGCCTTTTGTAGACTATACAGACATAAGAAGCATTTCCTAAACTGTTGCTCTTTAAATATTTTCTATTAGATCTCTTGATCTAACATTCCGTTCGTGTTTTTCAACCAGATAACACAACATATCACATGATCGCTCAGAATAGTACAGCGTTGCCATGGTATTCGATGACTACCTCATTGCAATATATATGTTGCCAATATGCATATTGTGCCAGATCATTAGTGCTGCCAACAGTATCTTGGGACCATGGATGTGCGTTCACTTTTACTGCTTTTCACAAACCTCGTGTGTGGATCATGTATTCACAACCAACCACCACCTATCAACCATTCAAACCTTTTAATTGGTTGGACATGTTGAAGATCCTTTCCTGATGGCTTAATATTTTGCTAATCTTCAACTCCTTTGATTTTTCAGGTGTATCTTATATATGTTGCATAACAAAGGTTTCTTCTGTTAACAATTCAAGAATATCTGGTTGTTCAATTTAAGAACACAGACCTAATTGATAAACGTTTGCTAAACAATGGATTTTTAATTTATTTATTTAAAACCATATCCTAGCTCAGGGCAAATGCACAGTATGGGTTTGATGCAGTGGTTATGGTTCTAGGCAGCTTATCTTTGAATTCTCCTTCAGTCTACACGGTACCCACTGAGCCGTACAAGTACTTGTAAGACATGGGTATACTGCTGGGTGTTTCATTTTTGATGGTGGAGTCACATGCAGGAACTCAGCTGTGAGCGTGTTAGTTTAGGTTGCGCTGCAAAGGGATGAGCACACTTATCGCAAAGCTCCCTCAAATGAAGAACATTGTCAGGAATGGCGTGAGCAAGTAGTGCTTTTTCAAACCATACTTGATGGCTTAACAGGAAGCGGTGGCCTTAGGTTGAGACCGGGTGCCACAATTGATCAGGAAATGACAAAACACTGAGGGTTTCCAATGAAAGTTCGCACTTTTTCCAAAATACTAATATATATAAAATAATTTTATTTAGTATATATTTATATATATTGTGTATATAATATTGTTTGTGCATTCTAAATTTGCTTTTTTTGTTACTATAATCTCTTCAGCCCGAGTGAGTTATCAAATATCTGTGATGTCTAGATTTTCATTCTTGGAGGACAAACAGACTGTTTAGACAGAGTGAAAAAAATCACCCTAAATTTACAATGTTTTTATTTTTTTTAATTTTTTTTTCATTTTTGGTTGAGGATATAAATTGGTGTCTGTGGATACTGTGCCCAGGTTTGCATCCATGGTGAGATACAGTGTACTGTTTCCCATTCTGGAGTATTGCAAAACAAAATATAAATACCATAAAACCATTCATTTCAGTGCCAGCCTTTTAACTAGTAATATCTTTCACAGTTAAATCCAGAGATTACCTCTAGAAAGATTCCCCATGAATTCAATTCCGGTGTAACTAACAATAGACAAACCCCAGATTCAACTCTGGTATTCACCTCTATTACATTGATATTGTTATAATATGGACTTGTTCTGGCTCCTGTTTAAGAACCATACAGACTATCCGAATTCTGCCAAATGTTGGCTTTCCTAATCATCGGAAACCTTAATAAGTCAGTCCCTACTTGACAGGAGTTTATCTATTTGTCTCAATGCTGTAATGCTCTAATGTGTGTTTGAGGCTTATGACCATAAGATTTATTTTTTGCTCTGCGCTTGAATACCTTACCAGTAAATGTGGTTAGATGGTACATAGCAGTGTTTGGTATAATTAAAGATTGTGTGTTCTTGGTATACATCTTTAGACCTGCTATTACATGTCCTTGGCACAGTCCTGCAGCCTGGCATCCTGTCTCATTTGTTTTATCAGTCACCAGCTGGCTTTGATCAATCCTGGTGTGGTCAGACTCGCTAAAAGGAGATCCACCTGTTTTAACCTAGCCAATAGTGTGTGTTTTTTTTTGTTTTTTTTTTATGTGGTTCTAGACCACACAGTGCTTTTAATATTTGATAATTAAACAATATTAAAAAAAAGTTTTGACACTGTGCAGTTTAAAATTAAGATTTGTAGGTGTGATAGCCTTTTCCAGGTAGTAAAACCTGTAAAATAAAGTGTAATGTACTCTACTTTTTTTAATATATTTTTAAAATTATTTGTAGAACACAGAACTCAAGCAATATGTGTCCATTGTATCTGTAAAAGAGTCCTTTACTAAAGTGAATTTGAAATGTGCTTTCAATTTGGCTACACTGGCCTTAAATTTGAAATTCACCTTTGAATTCTTGGTGTAAGAACCCTATGTCTTGGAGGGGATGATTATTTATATATATTGTGTGAAGTCAAATAAAACTTTTGTCTTGGAATCAGGAAAAAAATGTTTTTCCGCTTCCATTTGTAAACAAACGCATTTCCTGTGCAGGAGATGTACGCAGAAAAGTCCAGTAAAAATGACATTTGCATATACATGATGTACTTACTGTAAGCGTTGAGGAAGCTGGCTTAGATCTTAAAGGGACACTATAGTCACCTGAACAACTACAGCTTAATGTAGTTGTTCAGGTATGATCTATAGCTCCCTGCAGGCAATCTAATGTAAACACTGTATTTTTAGAGAAAATACAGTGTTTACATTGATAGGAATACCTTCAGTGTCCGTCACTCAAACGGCCACCAGAGGGACTTCCTATCATGTAGGGCCCTAAAAAGGCCCTGTACATGTCAGATGTATTAAAATACGTCTGACGTGTGCAGGAGAGAGAAGGCACTGTGTGCGCGCATTCTCTCTCCTGCCTGTCAGCAGAGGAGAGGGGGCGGGCAAAGACCCAGCACACGGTGCACATGTGCGTTAGTACGCTCAGGACTTCAGAGGGCGGCATGAATGCCGCCCTATGAAGTATGTGCGGTGAAGCCGCGCATGCGCACAAGGGAGCAATGACGCTTCCAAATGGAAGCGTCTGATTGCTCCCTGCTCACACCCGCCTATTTCATCATTTTTACGAAATAGGGGGTGCGGCTTCACGAGGCTCCCGGCACTGGAACCAGGTGAGTAAAATCCTCTGCCTGGAGAGTCCCTTTAAATTCTAACACTTGTATACAAAGTAATAAGATGTGATTAAAAAAAAAAAAAAAAATTCATGCAGGCTGTGTAAATGACAGCCAGGAGAGGTGTGACTAGGGCTGCTTAAACAAATTAGATTTAACTCCTAATGGTAGTGAATGAAGTAGAAAGCCTGCAGAGGCATAATCTTATCTACTCTACTCTAAAACTGCTTCATAAAGCCAATTTTATTTTTGTGCTTAGGGTATCCCTTTAAAAAATAATAAACTTTCTGCAGAATAACTGCAAAATGAAAAGATATGAGATTTAGTTGGAGCTATGTGTAGTGAAATATAATTTACAAAAATCAGTGTAATTTACACAGATATAATCTGACATTCCCATCACCACACACACACATATAATAAAAATAGTAAGTCTTACTAGTGTGAAAGACTGCTATTATTATAAAGTCACTGAAAATTCTCAAAAAGTTTATGAAGTCAGGAAGTGACTAGGCTTCTACAAACTGGACAGGTTGGGTCTATTAAGTTACAAAGTTTGCTAAGCAAACTTTATAAAAACTGCAGATCAAAAATGCGCGAATGTTTAGCACGATTATAAAAGTTACTCCCTTGATACTGATTTATTTAGAGCTGGATTTAATGGCTCTGCTACCCCAAGAATGTTTTTTTTTTTTAATTTATTTATTTTTTTAATTATTAATATGGATTGAAAATACATGTCCTGAGCCATTGGAATGAACAAACATTTCTAAAAATGTTGACTTTTTTTTTCTTTTTTTGACTTTGATATTAAATTTATAAACAAAAATCAACATGGAGTGTAAAATGTGGGGTGGTGGAACGAGTAGTAAGTTAGAGAGAACACACAGGTATGACTGTTTAAATCGGTTTGCCTGTTGAAGGAAGGTTGTTATTGAGTGTCACTGCAGGTTATCTACATCGAAGTGTGATGGATAACACAATAGGCATGAAATGTAAAGCCTGTAATGAATCATCAGACTAGCGTTCTTTGTTACTCAAGGATGGAGAACTGCACGTAGGAAGGAAGCTATATTCTCAGAGACCTGCTGCAAGGGGCCTGCAGCCATTCTAGTGAGGTGCTTGTCAGGCGTAAAGCTAGACAAAGCCATGTAAAACTATCAAATTGTCTTTTAAGCATCTGAATGTTGTAAAAGTTCCTTGCGGCCACTTTAAAAAAAGTGCTAGGCATACCTCCCAACATTCAAATGGACATAGAGGGACACTTTAATTTTAGGGGTTTGAGGGAGGATGGCCAGTTGTGCAGTTCTAAAGGTGGTAGTATTATATTTTTGTTATTTTTTTTACATACTAATAAAAAAAAAAATAGTTTAGAAATAGAACAATGTACCCTATTTACACAGACTGATTTGTCAACGCATGAATTGTAGTTTAAAGACACATTGCTGTGCGTTTTATTGCTACGGAGCTCTGATATAAACTCAGACACACAAACAAATGGAGCTTCTAGAAAAGAGGGACTGAGGGATTTGGGCCTTCATAGGGACTGTCCATCCTAAATAGGGACACTTGGGACGTAGGTTTAAGTGTTTTCGTATGTTCTCATGTATTGTACATGTAGAGTCTGAAAGGTACTGGTTAGACAATGCCACATTTAAATTTACATCAATTTAAATCTCATTTATTAAACATTACAATACATATTCTAACAAAAGTCTCAATGTATTCCTTTCATGTATCTCACAGGACGTGTTTTTTTTTTTTTGGTGTTTTTTAAAGCATTTTAGAAGACAATACACCATTTTGAAATCATTTTTCAAAGCATTGCAATATTTTTTTTTTATTTTTTTTTATTTTTTTTCTTCAACCTCACTAGTAAATTAGATTTTTGTACAGTACCATTATTTTTTACTAGTGGTTACATTAAGTTTTGTGGTCCATTGATGCTTAAAGAGAATGCTTTAATTTGTATAGACCTATAAAGTTACTTGCAGATCTTGATGTTTACATACAAAACTACATTTTTATTTTTTTTAATTTAGATTAAGATTTTGTAAATATAGTGCTTAACTGGCTTTTTTTTACAAAACACACCTGATGTGGTTGGGAAGTGATTGTTTTGTATGCATGATTTTGAAAGGAATTTGCTATATCTGTTTAATATCAAGCATCATGTAAATCTAAGAATGCTGTTAACATGGTCCAAACATCAAGCTTAAAACTAAAAGCTTAAAAATTTAATTGGTTTCAAATGTGTTTGCCATTTGCTTTTAGCAAGCTAATTAAGGGGGAAATGGATAATAAACATACCTTTATTCCAGCACCGCACCGGTCAACTGGCACTGGCTCCACCACCACTCCGTCTCCTTGGTTGAGATCATCAGAATTGACAATCTTAGCCAATCCAGTGCTAATAGGAAAGCATTGAGACTAAATTGCACACTGGACAAAACGATTCGTCAATCAGCATCTCCTAGTAGAGATGCATTACATCGTTGCATCTCTATGGGGAATGTTCATGCCTCACTGTACAGCACCACCCCAGTAAGCACATCTAGTGGTAGTCTGAGTGACTGCCACTAGAGCTGTCCTCAGGCAGTAATGTAAACACTGCCTTTTACGCTGTAGTAGTTCTGGTGACTATAGTGTGGCTTTTTTTTCTTTTTTTTTTCTTTTCCAGAAAATATTATTTAAAACCGATTTTCTTTTAACGTAGTGCATGTTAACTCTGCAGACTCAAGTTCAATTAACTTGGATTAATGGAATTCGGGATTAATTTCGTAAAAAATTTAAATGTTGCACGAATACACAGCCTTAATGCTCCATAACTAATCCATATTTTTAGTTAAGAAAAAGACCTTTATCCCATTTTTCTGTAAATCTGTGTACACATATTGAACACTTTCAATTTAAAGTGTGAGATTGAGCTATTCGTTCATCTTGCAATCATTTTATATTTATCATTTATAATGGTATATTATGAAATCCGCTCTTAAGTAACAGTTAAACAAATCTGAAAAGTTATTATTCCATATATGAAATCATTATAACCAGGAAGGATGAGTCTCTTTTAAAAATCATTTAAATAGTCTTACTGCCTTGTGATTTAAGTCAAACACACCCTTAGTGTAGTTAAATAAGAAATATATATATATATATAGAGAGAATTTTATAATGTGACAGTCTCTTTGAATTCCAGACAAGTTGCACTGTAGTGGTTTCTTCACGAAACACTGAATTGTAGTAAATTGAAATCTGAATTGTAAAAATTGGGCTAACATAGATAAGCTGAGACTATAACTTTGATGCAGAATTATTCAAAATGTGCCCCTGTTACCTAAATTTTGCAATTTGGATATTAATCCAGCTAATTGTTTAGTAAATTATCGTGTGTGTGTGTGTGTGTGTGTGTATATGTTCATGTGTGTTTTTAAATTGTTTTCTAAGTTTCTAAACTGGAAAAGGGCCTAAATGTTCCACCAAAAATGACAAACATTCAAAAATCAGCAGTTGGCAAGATTGATGGTTGCTGTGTGCTATGTAATGTATGCATCAAAAATCATTTTGCCTTAACAGTCAGCATGCGTGAACAGATCTTGGGCAAGAGCAAAACGCAATGACAACTTTTTTTTTCTTTTCTCATAAGGTTACATGTAGAGTAAAGATACAAACACTAATTCCTATCGTTCTAGTGTTTCTGTAAAGCTAAAGCCATTTTGCTCACCCTTATTATTCCCCTAGCTTGCTGATAACGCAACTGCCGCCACTCCTGTCCTGCATGCGTTCCTACAATCCAGTGCTTCTCTATAAGAAGCATTGAATTAGAGGAAATTTCTAAGTTCACCCAAGACCTCAGCGGGTATGCTGACATGTTAGAAGCAGATGCAATAGAAGAGTCTTGGAGGTAGAAACAGAGGTTAGGAAAGGTAAGTAATCTTATTTATTTGTATTTATTTTTTATTTTTTGCAGCAAGTGTGGTGGACAGTGCTGGCAGCAATAGAAGGGAACATCTTGTCCTGAGAAACGATTATTTAAAGGCGTAACTGCCATCAGGAAGAAAGTGACCATATTTCTGCTCAATTTATGACAAAATATGTTCAATGCAGTTGCCTTATTCAGGCTTCATATAGTACAGCTAAAACTGTTTTTCCCCCATACAACTATTGTGTAATCAGAATTAAGAAAGTTTCGTAGAATACTAAGAAAAACATTTTTGGCACACAGGGCACTTGGTTAAACTGTATTCTTGTAAGTTGTAAACTGACTCACCCCATTGGACGGTCCTTTGAACTCTGTGCACTTTACTTTGGGACATGATCCAGACTGATTGCTCTCTTTCTCAAAACAGAGGTTAACAAACATAACGGACAATTTATATATAATTCTATCAAGGAAGGTGCTGTCCCAGGATATATTATATCTTTATCAGGTGAAGTAAAAAACATTTCTTATATAGTTGCAATGGCATCTGTCAAGGGGTGGGATATATCTGGCAGCAACGGAACAGTACGTTATAGCATTTCATGTGTTGGAAGCAGGGAAAATGGACAAGTGAAAAGATCTGAGTGACTTTGACAAGGGCATCAGAACTGGACCTTGGAGGCAAGATTGCTTGGCCTAATGAATCAGGTTGTATTTTAGATCAGGTGGATGTGCACTTACATGATTTACCATGTAAAGTGCTACGGAATATGCTGGCTCTATATAAATACCAGTAATAATACCAAGGAAAGACATGGCAGCAGGATGTGAAGAAGGCAGGCAGTGTTTTGCTCTGGACAATGTTCTGCTGGGAAACCTTGGGCCATGACATTCATGTGACTGTTACTTTGACATGTACTACCTACCTTGAGATTGTTGCAGACAACGTACACCTTTTCATGGTGGTGGTGTTTTCTGATGGCAGAGACCTCTCTTATCAGGATAATGCACCCTGCCACACTGCAAAAATTGTTCAGGAATGCAAGCAGAAGGTCTCTGATATCCTCAGCCTGATCTCTCGTCACATAGTAATGTCAAATTCATCAAAATTTGGATGGCATTGATTCCCTCAGTGTAACAGTTTAACCACTCATATAATCCTTATTGTGTAAATTGACATTATATTTTTTTGACAATCTTTATTTTTCAAAAGGATTTAAATGAAAGATACATAGTATAGACATTTACTACACGGTGAACTGATCAATGTAGAACAGATCGTATGATTACTTATTCTATCTTGGGTGCGGTATGTTTGAGTGAGCCTAATACCATAGGGTAGTTGTAGTAGAATTTCTTACCCCCTTGTGATGTGCGTGTATAAACAGTGCGTATTGCCAGGCCTGCTGGTGTACAGAAGGACAAAAGACTTATAAAAGGGTCTGTTTTCTTGTGTATATATGGGAATCAACTTTAGGGGACAGGGGGGTTGCATGTGTGTTGTCTTCAAGAGGATGTTTGAAGTTTGTGTGAGTATGCCTGGACGTTGGTTGGCTATTAGATGGAGGTTCACCTGCGGTGGGAGTGAATCGTTATTGTGGACTAAAGTACCTCCCCTTTCAATCTGGTCAGATTGATCTTCTGTTCGTCTTTTGTTAGTATTGGGGGGTGGGAGAAAGAAATAAGAAAAAGGAGGTTTGGGGGGAGAGGGAAGGAGCCCTATTAGGCAGTGCCTGTGTCCTGTCTTGAGCTCCGCTGTCTATCTCCCTCTGGCTCCTGTCTGTCTCCCTTTCCAGGGGTGGTATCCTTGGCTGGTCCTCGGTTGTTATTCAGGAGTAAATTGACATTATTAATGCAAAACTGCATTTGTGATCTGGAGAGCAAGGAATCCATCCCCAGCCACAGGGGTACCTATGACTTACGTTGAACTGCTCATATGGTTTGATGCCGCCACAGCCTCCAAACTCCATAAGGTGCTTAGTCTTTAAAATTTTGTGACGTTTGCTGACATTCCGTTTGTTTTTTATTTTAGGGAGTAAACATTGTTCTCATTCTATATCCTCCTCGGAGATTTGTATCATTCTGCTTTAGTGGCTGAACTTGCCCTTTTTTCAGCTCTGGCAAACACCTTTTCATATTTATAATCTTCTGAAGAGGAACCTAATTAACCTTGCTCCTGCTTGATCGGGTCCTATTTAATGGGTTTGTGATGCCTTTTAATAATGCAAATACTTCCTGTACATGCTGCCATGTTCATATTTAAGAGTTTTGTTTTTCATCAACTTTGAAGTTGCTTTGTTGTATTAGCGGCTCAGTCACATGATTACAGTAAAAGGTGAATAAATAAACACACTGATCCCTTATTTAGGGGTAATAAACAACTAATGCTGTACCAGAAATGGAGAATATTCACCTTGTAAACTTAAGCAGGAGATTTGGGGATGGGGGTCGGTAGGAATGTTGGCAGTTGGGAAACTTGTTATCTAAAAAGTGACTGCTGACCTTTCAGCTAGTACAGACATAGTTACATGCATTGTATGAAAAGCAATCCACAGCCTTTCTGAAATGTTACATTTCACATATAGAGCGCTTGTCCTGGACTCTTTTTATAGATCAGTAATTAGACATGGTAGCTGAAATGGTACTCTTGTGAAAAATAGACTAGTAGGTTTTTTGTTTTTGTTTACGGTGTTAAATATCCAAACATTCATGTTAACACCTATATTTTGCAGACTTGTATTAGTTGGGAAATTGTATCTGGAGTTATGCAACATTTAGAAGGACATCATAACTACATTGTAGAGGTATTGGTGGATAGTCTCTCTTTTTTTTTTTGTTTTTTTTTTGTGTGAAAAGGAGACTTTGCACCTCAATCACAACAATGAGCTGGAGTGGTTAAGCTGCATAGAGTATCCCTTTTTAAACCACAGAATAAGAGGGATTCCCGAATGTACCCAATGTATTTGTTTGTTTAGTTTTTCTACTGTAAACTTTTGGTTCTGCTTAACATGTGTGCCTCTGTTCTACATTTTTGAAGAATAGGTAAAGGACTGTCCATCATAAAATTAGAATAGTGGCTCACTCTTGCCACTATTACATACACACATATATATACATAAGTTGTAATATGTAACAAAATGTATTTTATTAAAGTGGCACTGTCACCAGGGGGCAGGTAGAGGTGACACTTACTTGAACCTGTCCCTTGCGGCTGCCGCCATCTTCCACTGTCTGCTTCTCTACAGCTCCTGGTGCTTCAGCCATACACAAAATTACAGCATTGAGGTCTATGAAGGATCCCGTGAGACCTCAGGATCCTCCATAGACAGAATCCATTGCACGCAGCCGTTGCTGGTGACTGCTGTCTGGATTGACACTTAGACTCCGCCCAGAATCTAAGAAAGACAGGCACGGGAGAAATACAGAGCCAAAGTAGTCCCTAAGTCTTTTGACTGGGTTGGAATTTCAGTAAAAATCTTAAATTTTCCGGGGGTGGGTAGGGGGCAAGGAATGTCCACCACATCCTGGTAGATGGTCTTGCTTTTATAATTTTATTTATTGTGAGTATTTGCAAGGCAGCTGAGGGATGTGCTGTATCTACTAACTGAGGACCAATTAAAAAAAAAAATGTTTTTTTATTAAATCGCCTATTTTATATTAAGTGCACCCACACTTATTATATATATCATTTTATTCAGGAGAAACAGGGCCTTCATTTAACATCAAATATTCTAGCTTTGAAACATAATTTAATGAGTAAAATATAAAATAAATATGAGAAATTAAAGGACCACTATAGTGCCAGGAAAACAAACTTGTTTTCCTGGCACTATAGGGTCTTTAGGTCCCCCACCCTCAGGGTCCCACTCCCGTCGGGCTGAAGGGGTTACTCCCCTTTCTCCAGCGCCGGGCTCCCTCGGCGCTGGGGAAATCTCCTACATCTTCCGACGTCAGCGCTGAATGCTTTCCTATGGATGTAAGGGTCTTCTCTGATTTTTCACAGTGAGAAGCGCGGAAGCGCCTCTTGCGGCTGTCAATGAGACAGCCACTAGAAGCTAGATTAACCCTAATGTAAACATAGTTTTTCTAAAACTGCTATGTTTACATTTGCACGGTTAACCCTAGATGGACCTGGCACCCAGACCACTTCATTGAGCTGAAGTTGTCTGGGTGCCTATAGTGGTCCTTGGGGGTCTTGGAAAGTTACAGGGTTAAATATAGTGCTAGCAAACTAAATTCTCTGGATTTTTCTGCCTAGCTTATCAGACAGGTCCCGCAAATTGTAATTAATAAAATGACTTAATTATGTAAAAATATTACATAAATATATACGTAGAATGAAGAAAGACAAATATATATATATGTATGTATGTATGTGTGTATGTATGTGTGTATGTATGTGTGTGTGTGTGTGTGTGTGTATATATATATATATATATATTCTATCAAAATCCAAATGGGTTATTGTGGGGGGGAAATTGTGATTGAAAAACCCTTCCACCTGAAGTCTGTGGATAACATTGTATTAACTATCCACATACTTCAGGTGGAAGGGGTTTTTAATCACCATTTTTCCCCACCATAACCTATTTGGATTTTGCTTCCCAAGCACTACCAAGCCTCAATAAGCAAACCAGTAACCAGCCTCATGCTGATGATTTGCATTAACAATGAAACTGCTGTTCATGTGTGGTTCACTGGCTTTGCAGTTGTTTCAAAGATGTTGTATATACAGCAAACACAGACTCAAAGGAATCCATGTTTAAAATGGAATGAGGCAAAAATGCGATTCTTTATTAAACTAATTTGCATATGCACACCCAGAATCCTTTGCGCTAGTAACATCACTGCAGAGTTTGGATTTCTGTGGGAAAAGCAAGTCTTATGGCTTGACTGGTGTGCAGATTTTTGTTTAACATTGTATTCTCTCTCCTCTCCAAATTATTTTTTTTTTTAAATTGCACAATGTTTTAAATAAAACGCATGTGTAGCCATCTATAGTGCAACATAAAAGGATAAATATTAGGGAGTAAACAACTCCATATCAATTTAAAAGTACACCGATACTAAACCATTCTTTCTAAACTTATCCCCTTAAAGATCTGAACTTAATCTCACTAAAACCCCTTTTATCTTATAACCTTACTTTTAAAACGGTACTTCTCATGAAAGAACAAATATGAAAATTTTTAGAAATTACATTTAATTTTTTTTTTTAATGATTTACTCTTCCAGGGAAATTTTTTAGAGTCCTTGCTAATTTGTAAAACATATCTAATGATTTTCTACTGATAAAAAAAAAAAATCTTCTAGGCCCTTTTTTAATATATAGGGTACTGAGTTTGTATGCCCATTCCATCTCTACTTGGCCAATTTTTAATACATTGTTCCCCCCTCTCAATTATATTCCTAATATGTTCATCAGCTATAAGTGGAGCTTTCTTACTGTGCGACCTATATATTGAAATTCCCATTCCAGCAGAAATATAACATAACATCTTTTGCAGGATGTACCTTTTTATTTCATATTATTTTTGTTGTATTTGACTTAAAACTACTTATCTACTTTTTAATGTTATTGGGGGGGATGTTTTTAGACTAGGTCCCCTATAGGTTTAATTGTTTCGAAAATATTGTTCTATACCTGGGATAGGAAACAGTTGGTTGCCTACCCCTGCCCTGTATAATCTATTCCAATACCATCACTCAGCCACTCGCACTGGCACATACACTAAACTAATCATTCACCTTAGCTGTCATCCACCTACCTGTTTACTTACCCCTGTCACCATACTTACCAACTCACGAAGTTATGACTCCCCACACCCAACAATCTATAATTATCCACGGATGCATGCAAATTCAACTACCCACCCGTCAACTTCCCATGAATTTCCTTACATACATTATGCAAACACGTACATATACAGCATACAGGCCCACGTGCACACATTGTACACAGGTGCACTGTTTAGGTTGGTTTACAATTTTGGGAACAGGATGTATGTTTAATATCTGATGTTATGGTCAATAATCATTAATATTGGTCACGTTTCCATAGATTGCAGTGTGTTTCCTGTGATACCTTTTTATTAAGAGTGAGGGTATGTAAAAGGAACAAACAAAAAGGGTGGGGAACAGGATGTTTAAAAGTAAGCGTGACTTGGTTACATCATTACAGCCATATGTATCTCTGAAAAGTTACGTACGCAGGTGCTAGTGACTTTCAGTTCATCCCTGGTGTTACGATCCACAGCTTTAAGGCCATGTTTTTAGATCTGTTTAAATGTGAAAAACTTCAAATAGCTTTTCCTATTTGGGTTAATTATACTGCATTTTTTGTTTCCCACATAGACTTTCGTGTGATTCTTGTTTCGTAGTGCCTTTTGATGTGGCAGTTTTTTTGTGGATTATATAGTTTGTTTGTTGACTTGAATTTCACTTTTGACACGTCTCTAGAATTGAAAGTGAGTTTCAAGTTCATTGATTGAAATGATGTATTTTGTTGTTTTGTGGTTTTTGTTTTTCTCAATGTTGTGTTGTCTTGTTTGCTTTCTTTCAAAATGGTTGATAAACCATATTTCCTCATTCATTCAGATTTAATGTTTCCTTTTTCAGTAGGCACAGCTGTGAAAGTTCCACCTGAAAGATTTAAAATGTTATTTTTCCAGAATGAATCAAAGTTTTGTGACTGGCAGTGCATGGATACTGTCAAAAATCACACATTTTTGATACTGTAGAGCATTTAGGGAATATCTTTGTTTACGACCACCTAATGGCAGGGGTTTATTAGCAATGATATTTTGTGTGTGTGTATATGTGTATATGTGTATGTATATGTGTATATATATATATGTGTGTGTGTGTGTGTGTGTGTATGTGTATATATATATATATATATATATATATATATATATATATATATATATATATATATATATATATATATATATATATATATATAATGTGTGTATATTTAAGCAAGTCTTATGGCTTGACTGGTATGCAGATTTTTGTTTAACATTGTATTAACTATAGATATGTATGAAGGCGTAGCCTGTAATTGTGCGAGGGGTTACCCAGCTATAAAAACTCAGGCCCCCTCCATGACCGGACCGACACCGCTGGGTTCACTTCCTTCAGAAATGGAGCCGCTTCCGCAGCATCAGGTCACAATGTCCCTATTCATATCGTTAAAAGGTTAGGTCGATGGAAGTCAGTAGCATAAAACCAGTTCTATACCACAGACAGAACAGGAATTGAGATTAGCATTTAAATGTTTAGCTTTGTAACCTGTATGTAATAAAGGTGATTTGTTTACATCTAATTTTTGTCCTACCCCATACGTCGGTTCAGGCATACCACAACCGACTGGTGCTTACTTCTAATTATATATTATTGTATCATTATTACGGCTTATGTCCCTGACTACAAATATATTAAAAAAATTAATTTTTTTTTTCAAGGTATTGTATGGCCAGCCTTTGTCTGTCATATCATACACTGAAAAAAACAAACATAAAAAATAAATAAATAAAACACACACTCTTATGTGTGTGGTAATACCTTTTAACATACCCCACACACCATCTCCTAAAAAAACGTTTATGTAAACTTGGTAAACTAAAGATCTTTTGATCAGAGTGTGTATTTTTTTTTTTTTTAAATATTTTCACCCCTCTCAATGAAGTATAATATTGAAGGAAATAATTGGGGCGGCGAGGGGGTCCTATTCAGAACATCAGTAAATTGGTATTGCTCTATATTCATTGAAGAGAATTGTTAATTATATTACATATTATAAAACTGTGTGACAGGCAGTAGAGGCATTTAAACCAAGCAACGCAAATATTGTTGTAATTGCAAAATCGCAATATTTTAGATTGCAGGGTTAGAATGACAGGAACATGGCACCAAGACCACTTCCTTGAGGTGGGTGCCTATAGTGTAAAAGAAACATTATAGCCCCAACGCTTTAGTGCCCTAGCCAATAGTAAGGCTTGTACGATAAAGTGGTCTGGATATTTAGTGGTCCTTTTTGTTTCATATATTTGCTAGTTGTTCATTTTGCTAGCATGGTGTAGACCCAACGTTAGGATATCGGTTTATTCTTACATATGTCATAAATCAATATAGCCATGAAAACTGTGGTGAGGCCAGTACAACTCTCCATAGTGCAATTCGAAAACAAATATTGTTGTGCATCATCTGCATATCTCAATATGAATTTTGGAAAGTCCTTCTTGGTAACAAACTCGAGAAATCCTGTTTCCACAACTATCCCAGAATTCCCAGCTTGATATGCTAATGAGTGCAGAGTGCAGGCATTACTGCAGCTACCCGTAGCAATGGAAACTGTTTTGAACACAGCTTTTGTTAACCATAACATGATTTGTGATCCAAAAGAATCAGTGACCAGAAACCAGCCATGGAAAGCAGTTTTGACCTTGCGTTCGTAGGACCGACACCATGCTGAGGAGACTAAGGTCAAAACTGCAGTCTATTGCTAAAACACCATTCCAGTCTGTGCTCATTTGCATATCAAGCAGGGAACACTGGGATAATTGTGGAAACATGATTTCTGTGCTCAAGGAGTACTTTCCATAGTCCACCTTGTGATATGCAGGTGATGCACAGCAATATTTGATTGATTGTTTTTTGTTTTTAAATTATTTGGTTCGTTATTACTGTTTAGTAAAAAACAAAACCTCTTTTTCATATGTTATAGTTAGAGATTCTTACTGGTGTCAACCAACTGCGGCAAAGTTTTATAAGCGTCTTCTTTTTTTGATTAATACATTGCTAAATACAAATACACACCAGTCAAGCCATAAGACTTCCTTTCCCCTCAGAAATCTCACTTTCACAGTGATCTCACTACTGCAAGGGATTCTGGGTAAGGTGTATGCAAATGAGCTCAACATTTTTGCCTCAATTCCACGTTATACATTGCTTGACTGGTGTGTGTATTTGTGTTTAGCAATGTATTAACTGTCCACTTATTTCAGGTGGAAGGGGTTTTCATCCACACTTTTTCCCCACCACAACTCTGTTGGTACGTTCTTTTTTTTGAGTGAGATTGTACTTGGGGCCTCCAAGTAAGTATTTCCATATAAAGATATCCCTCAATGCAGAATTCTTTGACTGTCCACAATTCACATATGTAGAATAACAAGCCACACGTGTTAAATAGTATTAGCATTTTAACCCTGCTTGTTTTATGTGGAATGTTTTGAAACCCTTTCTATTTGTGCATTCGGTATAGGATTTGGGTTACCTTGCTGCTTACCATTTATTCCTTGTTCAGATGACTGCCTGAAATTCTTTAACGCTTCCTGCCAACAGGTTTATTAAGATGGGCACAAAAACTGTAGAATCTTTCGGCAGGCAAAAAAGTTCTCAAGGCGTGTATTATTCTCATTGATCTTGTGAATATTTGCACACAAGGTATCATTTCTCACTGTGTTCTGAAGAGTTGGTAGTTTTTAACCCTCATTATTTTGTTTGTATAATAAGCCTGAATATCCAATCACTTCCATTTGCTATTTCAGAACATGCGTATGCAAAATATATAAGCAAAGGTTTTGAACTAGCGCCTCGATTGAAGTCTGTGTGTTTTTGTAGCGAGTCAGAGGAATCAATGTGTTGAATTTTTTTTCTTCCACGTGAGGTTGTGACATGTTGCAAACCGAAATGCATCCATTAATAAAGATTGCGTGTTTGGTGCAGCTTTTTTAATGCTGGCAGGCATAGCGACATGGTTTTCAGAAGCATTCTTTAGACTGTATTGTTCAATAGCTGTTTTCACAAAAGCCCTTTTGGTTTTTATAATCCTTAATTTCCGGTCACTGGCTGTCGTTCGTGCTACATACAAAGAAAACCAAATCTGTCCAGATACCTGGTAAAAGAGCAGGAAATAAACGTTTTTTTTTTTGTTTTGTTTTTTTTATTGTGGTGTAAATGCTACTTAGAAACTTTGGTTTTGGTTATATCTGACATGTTTTAGTGTTCCAGATATTATTTTGAATATAAAGCAAATTTACTTTTTAGGTAACTTTTTTTTTTTTCTTTTCTTTTTTTTTTTTTACCTATGACTAACATGAATTCTCCACAATGACAATATTTAAATGTATTGTCAAAGCAGTAAATAATTAAGGGGGGGATCAGTAGAAGAGTCATTCAAATCAATATAGCAGCTTACACGTAATAACGTTTTCAATAATTCCTATTAAATAGGAGCAATAAAGTGCTTCTTGCTTACAGCTGCCTTCATATTTAGTTTTTTTGTTAAAGGGTTTTATTCCAATTTTATTGTAATGTTTGATATCCTACGCTGGTGGACTTTGTCATGGTTTTCCAAAAGACATTGAGTGGTGAGATCTGCTCGTACAGAATTTGTAGCGTGCACAGGTTTCATTTCAGATAACACACTATGTCATTCATTTCTGTGTTTTCTTTATGATACACCTACACTGAATTGACCTTGGAACAAGTTTCTAATCACCTACTTTAACTAACTATGATTTTTTTTTTATTTGCACAGTGGGTGTGAGATTTTAAATTCTAAGCGTACCATGTAATATTTGCATAAGACATGCACACCAGGTTCTGATATTTCGCTCGACTAGTTCACTTCAAAATCCAAAAAGAATCTAAAAATGTAGTATCTTAAAACTGATCAGCTTTATGCAGTATGCTGCAAAGCCCAGCCTACTCCTTTTTTATTTTTCAAATTTTTTTTTTCTTGGGTGATTGGTAACTCATCTTTCCTTATACTCTGCTTTAAAAAAAATCAACTTTAACATGTATTATTTTTTTTTTGTTATAGTGACAGCTACATAGTGAGAGTGAAGGCTGTAGTAATGACCAGAGATGACTCCAGCGGAGGGTGGATACCACATGAAGGAGGTGGACTCAGTCGTGTTGGTGTCTCAAAGGTTTACCCTGAAGGCAGTGGAAGAAGTGACTTTCTAATTCACGGGGAACGGCTCAATGACAAACTGGTAATTCGAATTGTAAAATTATATCTGTCTTTCAGTCTCAAGCCACACACTGTGATTATATTAAAGCGCAACAGCATTTGTTGGCGCTATATAATAATAATATAAGGAAAGTGTTAGAAATACAAATCTGTATAGATTGTTGGAGACCATCACCACCTCCCTGACACCCCCACCTCCACACACACAAATTGCAGTAAACTGAATTTTAAATGCTTTGCTTTTTACTCCCCAACCTAAATTCCCTCTGTGCTGTCAGGCATCTGTCTCCCATGACATCATCTGGGATGCATCACTCACAATCTGACGGTCCACTCCAGTTCTCCTCATAGAAGAGCATTGAGAATTGAGGTGTATGCACGGTGAGCGACGCAAGTGCACCCAAATACTTCTCATAGGAAAGCATTAATTTTAAAGGGACACTATAGTCACCAGAACAACTCCAGCTTAATGTAGTTTTTCTGGTGAGTATAATAATTCCCTTCAGGCTTTTTTTATGCAAACACTGCCTTTTCAGAGAAAAGGCAGTGTTTACATTGCCTCTTCAGAGAAAAGGCAGTGTTTACATTGCCTCTATGGACACCTCTAAGTGGCCACTCCTTAGATGGCCACTGGAGGTGCTTCCTGGGTCATTGCTGCCGAAAAAGCAGCCCTGACATTCAGCGTCCCCACACACTCCATGGGGACGCTGACTTTTCCTCGTAGAGATGCATTGATTCAATGCATCTCTATGAAAAGGTCCAGTTTGGCCAAAATGGCATTTTGATGTCACAAAGGGAGCGGTGCCAGCGCCGGCAATAAGGTGAATTTTAAACTTTTATAAGTGGGGGTGGGGGAGAAGCCACCTTAATGGTGGGTTAAACACTATAGGGTTAGGAATACATGTTTGTGTTCCTGACCCTATAGTATTCCTTTAAATACTTTCCTATGAGCTGCATTTGTTCACATGATTTAGTTTTACTCTGTTGTTGTAGAGCAAGTGCCTCTAGTGGCTATCTGTGTTTACCCCTTGTCACGAAGGTGGGCTATTGGCCTAGCCGAGACAGTTGGGAGTGTGTGGAAGTGAAAGTGTTAATGACACCAGACCCCTGGTTTCCTGTTGCTAGTCCCAGAAACCACTAAATTAACCCCTGCAATCCTTTCTACACTAACTCCCTAGTACACAATTTACTGCCACCACCAAGACTTTATATCCGGGTGTCTTAGGTTACCCCACACACAGTAGAATTATAGTATCACAACCTTACTTTACTGATCAGACATATATAATTAACCATTTTGGTAACGTGTTTACCTGAGCTTTCCTCAGAAGAGTGAGCTCATAGAGAACAAAAACACAAGCTGATAAGTAAACATTTAATCTGACAAAAAGGATTCACAGTGCTGGGTACAAAAATACAGAAATAAATAACATACAGAAACACAGATAACAAATTGCAAAACAGTCCATAAAATAAAATCAGAGGAAACATTCTCAGAGGAAACACAAGAAATTCCTTACATATATTTACTCCTTCTGTAGAATTCTTGTGGGAGATTCAGATGTTACAGGTCTCAAAGTAGTTATTGGGGGAAAAAAAAAATCTCTCCCCGGGTAGTCCAACATCCTCAATATATATCTTAAACCTAGTTGTTTCTAAGTGGGCAGACCCCTGGGTGGATCAGAGGAGTCTGGCCTGGCAGTTTATTGCCCACTCCATATTTTCTTAAGTTACGTTGTCCTTGGAAGACCCCAAAGTCAGAGCATAAGCACCAATGCCTTTTACGATGCCCTATGACCAGCTCTGGTGATGGTCATCTAGTAGTTTTATGGCTTAGGCCTGGTGTAAGATCAAAGCCTACAATAGCAACTCAGAACATATATCAAATGCCAACTCATGCTTTGGCATGACACCCCTGCATTGTAAACATTGCGGTTTTGCGGAAACTGCAATATTTTACATCGCAGGGTTAAAACGAAAGGTCCATTTTATTGCGATAAAATGGACTGGGTGACTTTAGTTGCCCTTTAATCAGAAAGCAGACAGAAGAGTTATCACATGTTTATCTGATAGAGGGTTATGTTTGTTTGTTTGTAGATGCGGGAGCTTTGTACAATAAGTCGGTGCGCTGATTTTTGTTTCTCCGGACTGTAGTTTGAACATTGTGGATTTAGACAAATTATATGCTTTTGAGACTAGGCAACAGCCACCGTACAATGAATTGTTTTTGTTGCTCAGACGTGGTACACTGTCAAACTTCACATTAATTAAGAGCTGGGTTGGTTTAGTCGTACAAACAATCTGCTTTCAGTTCGCAAAAGGATTAACCTTTTGATTGATAGGAATTTAACTTGTACACACCATGGTTCTATACTATATATGGGAAGCATAAAGTCACTCTGTGAAAATGTTGTTCCTGTGTGAATAGGCCTGCAAGACAGTTCAACCAAGTGCCTTACCATTGTTTTAGGAGAGGTGCAGTTTTTCTGGCAGAGTCTAGAGTTAACTGGGAATTGTTTATCTTGTGTTATGGTGGTTATGTCCTACTAGCAGAGTTCTGTTTTTCTTTGCACTGACTTTATCATTTGAATATATTAATCATGTTTCGGATTGCCTGTTTTCATTATTATTGTTAAAATATTACTCCTACTCAGATCCAAGTCTGATTATTGAAGTGGTGAGAGTAACATTTTCGGTTCTGGTGCAAGCGGTAAAAATGTTATACGAAGGACCCAGTTGTAGTTCTCTTTAACTAGAGAAGCCGTAGAGCATAGCCTGCACGTTTTAAAAAATCTCTCCTTTTTAGGGTTTTTGCAAATAGTAGTATATTTTGAACAGATTTAGTAGAGGGTTTGTGACACTGTCTCATTTTAGTGCTATGCTTGCTTGCTGTATTTTACCCGTTAAGTGCTTTGTGGTCCATTGTTAACTGTTGTGAGAAGTTAAGAGTGTACTTTATTTTATTTATTTATTTTTTGTTTTGTTTTTTTTGTTTTTTTTTAAAATATAACTGGAAATTACATAGCAGTTTTAGCAGTATTTTATAGGGTTAAGAATACAAAAAGTACACCCTAGTGTCCTCTGGTCCCCCTTCCTTCACCCCAGCATCATTTAGGAGACCTGGAGTCCATTACTATCAGGTTGCCTCTAGTGGCTGACAGCAACTAGATTCGGTCTTAGTCCAGCAAAGTAATTATTGCAGTTTGCCTAAAAGTGATTAAGTGGGACAGGGACACTGCATCCAGACCACTTCAATGAAATGGAGTCTCACAGACTTTGTATTACTAATTCTGCTTTTTAAAATGTAAAATTAATTTGTAATTTTAAATGGTTTTACATCAGAGCCATGACGTATCTGGTAAAGTTACTACATGTTTTAAGCACTTTAATAGCTTTATTTGGCTCTTTCTTTATGGTCTAGTCAGCCATGACTTGATAAAGGTCAAAGATGGTGTCCGAAATGTTGCCCTGTGTAATGCTTCATTAAAAAGCTGGACCTCTTTTGATCTGCTGGTATCCTGTTACTAGGGGTTGGGGCCAATCCCAGACCTGGAGCACGGACGACTAGTTTGGATAAAACCTCCGCAAAACAAATAATCCAGTCTGCTGGTGGAGCTCTATGGCCCAGGGAAGCCTTTCTTACTTGTTGTCCCACCTTTTTGCATATTTTTGATCCCTGTAAGCTGTGCTTAAAGCCTTTTCCTTATGATTACAAGTATCTGATTCTGTTGTGGCTTTGGGCCTGACAGACCTTTTCCTGTCACAGTTTACCAACTGCCTTTTAATAGAGTAGGAAAACGGTATATAATGACAACTTGGCATTCTTTGCAATTTAAAGGAAAGATCTACATTTTTTTTCTCATTTATCTTTTTTATTAATGCATAAAGAATCAAACATTTTGCAGCGCAGTGCAATTTTGACATGCCAAACCAGTCACAGGCGCAGCTGTGGATATCGTATGTTAAAAGGTTTACCCCACATGTGGGTAGAAACAGCTGCTGTGTTACACATCTGTTGTACTCGCTGCTTTACAAGATTTCTTATAACTTTTAACTAGGGGATAAGGGTGGGGTACAGAAGAAAAAAGGGAGGGGGTAAGGGGGGGTACCTTGGACAATAGATATTGCATTTTTCAGTTCAATGTTGTATATATATCCCTGTATGCGTTTTTGTTTCCCCTGGTCAGCCTTTTAACTCTCGACCGGCCAGCTACTCCATTCTCTGTCATATCTCTCACTACAGCCGTTTGCTCTGCTTGCCATTTTCTCATACTGACTGATCAGATCCATTCTAGTAAGGATATTGGGTATAGCTGGTGTTTGATTGCTCTTCCAACTACCTGCCAACATTATTTTTGCTACCGTGAGTATGTTGAGAATTACCTTTCTGTGTGGGTGGGAGGCAATACCGGGTGCTATGTGGAGAATGTAGTGTTCTGGTTTCAAGGGTAGGGTGAATCCTGTCCTATCTAGTATGAGGGAGTGAACTTTTTCCCAATAGTCTGTTAGAAGGGGACAAGCCCAGAAAATATGGATTATGGATCCCTCACTGATGTTACACCTCCAGCATTTCCCGGACGTGCCCGGGTACATGTATGCTAGTCTTTTTGGTACTAGATACCACCGCATTAAAACCTTGCAGTATGCTTCCCAGAACATAAGGCTTTGCGAAGCCCGTTTTGTGACTTTCAAAGCTGTCAGCCAGTCTACCCTTGGGATCTGGAGACCCAGGTCCTCTTCCCACTGTGTCATGTATGACAGCTTGTCAGGGACTGTCGCGGTGATCAGTGCTTTGTAGCACGCTGACAGTGGCTTTACATGCCTGGTGGTGAGTAACTGTGTCATTGGTAGGCGGGGAGTGAAGGAGCGACTGGTGAGTTCGCGGATATGCGAGTGTATTATATTTTTTACTCTGAGATATAGAAAGATATCCCTCGCTGGCAAACGTAGGTCTTTTTGCAACTCTGGAAATAGCTTAACCTTGTCCCCTACTAAGATATCCCTGACCTTATGTGCACCTCCCTCCCTCCATCGATCCAGCTTCAGGTCAGGGGAGAGTATTTCTAATGATGTCAGGGGTGCTGATTGGAAGAGCGATTTGGAGTCTGCTATGTATGGGCTCCATTTATTCCAGGCCATTATTAAAAACTTTGTGCTCTGCAGCTGTTTTCCCATCGCCACTCGTGTATGCCCCCCCGCCCATAGATAGTTTGACAGATCGTGGGTATTCAGACAGGCACTCTCCATTGCAAACCATATAGGGCGGCGGAGTGTGCAATTGGGGCGCAGTAGACAGAGACCCTGTGCTAGAGCGGTTGCCCTGTAGTAAGCCTTAATGTCTGGCATATTCAGTCCCCCATCCGTGCTCGAGAGCCCTAGGGTACCTTTTGCTACTCTCGGGGGCTTCCGCTTCCATACATGTGCGTTTATGGTGCTTTGATAGAGTTTTAGTAAAAAGATCTACATTTTTAACTTTGTAATTTCTTTGCTCTTAAATCAAAGTTTGGAGTTTCACAAGTGTGGTTTTGGTTTTGACTGCTTTTATGCAGAGATAGATGGTTTGTAATCTACAAATGTTGGGACACTGGACTTAAAGGACCCCTCTAGGCACCTAGACCACTTCAGCTTAATGAAGTGGTCTGGGTGCCAGGTCCAGCTAGGCTTAACCCATTCTTTTATAAACATAGCAGTTTCAAAGAAACTGCTATGTTTATGAATGGTTTAAGCCTTCCCCCAAATCCTCTAGTGGCTGTCTCATTGACAGCCGCTAGAGGCGCTTACGTGATTCTCACTGTGAAAATCACAGTGAGAGCACGCAAGCGTCCATAGGAAAGCATTGTAAATGCTTTCCTATGCGACCGGCTGAACGCGCGCGCAGCTCTTGCCGCACGTGCGCATTCAGCTGACGAGGAGGATCGGAGGCGGAGAGCTCCCCGCCCAGCGCTGGAAAAAGCTAAGTTTTAACCCCTTTCCCCCTTCCAGAGCCGGGCGGGAGGGGGACCCTGAGGGTGGGGGCACCCTCAGGGCACTATAGTGCCAGGAAAACAAGTATGTTTTCCTGGCACTATAGTGGTCCTTTAAACTTGCTTAAAATCCAAAACTGGTTGCAGTGTAGATGTTCTGAAACCTTAGACTGGTAGTGTATAACATATAGGTGCAGTCTTAAAAGAAGTTTTTAATGCTCTATAAGATGCTTGTTTTTTTAAATTTATTTTATCATTTTAAAGTTACAGTAAGTACAATAACCATAGCTGTTTGAATTTGTAGCGTTTACATATTTTTCACACCAGTCAGCTACAATATTGTGCTGTTCTACACTGCAACACCAATAACTTGTTACATTTGCCTATATTTTAACATGTTTTTTTCTTATACATACAGTGAAGAGTGGGTTTTTAACTACTATTGATTCTACTTTTATCAGTTTTGACAAAAGTTTGGGCACTTGGGTTGTTTAGGATTAAAAGTATAGTGTAGGTTTTGGTCATCCTTGATAGAAGATCCTGTCCTGCACAGCTTTCTAGGCTATATTTAACAAATTTGTCCAATATTGAGATTCGCGCCCTAAACTACAAAGTTCTATCATGCACAGTTAGATCATATGCAGAAGTAAGCTATTGCTATCTTTTTTTTTAAGTTGGTACATTAATGGGTTTTCGAGTAGGCGAAACTTAAAAATTCTGTCTCCTTGAACATGTTTTTAGAAGCCTGCACATACTGCTTGGTAAAAGACTTGTCCTAATGTCCTAGGATTTATGTGAAGCATGACTTGAACTGATCCTGTTTTCATAAGACAATTCAAAAAAGTATGACTGGGACCTTTAGAAAACCTGTGTAACCAAGAATTTAACAATCTTTCATTGATCATTAATTTAAGCATTTTATACCTTTTTTAGGTGTTCGCGGGACAGTGTCCAAGTACGGAATTCACAGAAAACCTAGGCTTTGGAGCATTGTTTAACCTACTTAGACTATATTATAAAAAAGATTGACCACCCCTGAATTATAATGGATATCAAAAACCCTTTACCATCCAATATTGCATATATCTAAAAGTGCATTTTAAGGGAATGGGGACTACTAATTGAGCTTAGTAGGTTGAAGCATTACCTTGCAGAACCGCCACATGATCCATTTCTCTTTTTTTTTTTTATATATATATATATATATATTCTGCAAGCAATTTAAAGGGATACTCCAGACCATTAAAGCACGTTGGCTTGCTGAAGTACTTTGTGGGAAGAGTGTTTACAATGCTCTTACAACAGATTAATTAAATACACTTTAGTACTGTCACTATTTCATTTGTCTCCCACGTTAGTCTAGCACTCACTGATATTGGGGTACTGTGAAGTTGTGGTGAGCTCAACATGAAATGGGCCACATGTTGGAATTAAATCCCCATGTTTGTTTGCTGAGATAGGCGCTTCTAAGTAGCCTTTTAAAATGTAAAGCTGTATTTTGTGTGTGTGCTGTTCCCTAATCTGTATTTTGTATAAATGTTGGTCTCTATGGCAACACCATTTCCTTTAACCTTCTGTGGAGAGGTGGGTAGTTACAAAAAGTGCAGGCCTCAATAGAAACTGACACTTTTTTCAAAATTAACCTTGTTACACCCCTGACAGTCGATCAGACAACCGGTCCAAGTGGAGCTAAACTCAAAAGGCAGCAATTGCCCAGAGCACCTGCCTTTCAAAGACTTCTCATTGAACTGCATTGGGAAGTCTGTGATTGGACAGCCATAGAAAGTCTGGGCTGGGGTAAAAGGGGAGTGATTGAAAAGACTGAAACAAGATCTGGGACTTTTGCTAGTTGTTTTTAGATATTCCCTCATGAAAAATGCATAATTAAATGCATGCATGTTTTAATTGTGGGTGTATCTACTCGATAGTATTTTCTTTATTTTTTATTTTTTTCTTTATTTGGACAGTGGAGTGTCCCTTCAACTTAAGCAGAATCTTGCTTTTTCTCGGCTTAGTCTATATCAGTGAATCCAAAACCAATCCTCGAGACCCACCAACACTCCAGGTTTTGTATCTCCATTGAAATAAAACCGGGATTGGTTTGTATAGTAAGCTAATAATGCAATCTGTTGATCATTGTTGGTGTTTTGTTTTTTTTCTCACTTGTTTTTGTTTGTTTAGATTCAGTAGATATCTACTGCCTGCTGCTTGGTTTAGAAGGGAACTGTTTTTTTGTTTTTGGTGTGTTTTTTTTTTTTGTGTGTCTTTGTGTTTTTCTGTTTCTTGCAAATTCTGCGGTAGCTCATGCCTGTCCCACCTTATGTAAATGTTTTGAACGTTTTTGTGTTTGCAGAAGTTTTGTTTTGTTTTTTTTTGTCCATGATGTTTCTTTTCAATAACACTGGCTACTGTAGTGGGGCAGGTCCATTTTATAGAGTTCCTTTCCTAGAATATAAATATATCCTTAATCAAATGATAGCACACAGAAGAGACAGGACATTTATAGGTAAGAATTTTGGTCAGGGTTCAGTGTAGATTCTGAATTTGAAACTTCCATTCTGGCACCTTGTTTTGATTCATACAAACAGTTGTACGATACATGCCTGTATGTCAGAGTGGAATGCAAGACAAATTTGAGCAGTGAATGGAAATTTAGTATCCTTAGTAGTTATGAAACTTTTATGAATATTATCTTGAGATTTGTGATCCTAGGAAAAAAGTTAAGATGCTTACTGCTCAAAGCATTTTAAAGTAACACTATAACGCTTGTGTTCCGAAGGCTATAGTGTTCTCCTCACCATTTAGGTTATCAGTTGCCAGCAAGGATTATAAAATGAGATTTAGAGACTTTGTGCTACTGGACCAGGCTGATAGCAATGTGCGGAAAATCGCAGAATTGCGCCAATCTTCCTCTCCTTATAGTTATGCCTTGATCAGTGCCTCTCTATGGGGAGTGTTCAGCGTCTCCATGCAGAGTGTGGGGCAAGCTATATGTTGTAGTGTTTCTGATGATTCTAGGTGCAAAAATGTGGTGTTCAATAATTTTAGAGGAATATATTTTGTTTTTGTGATGGTTTTTTTTTTTTTTCCTACTTTAATATTCAAAAAATTCATGAAAAATATAACTGGCATGCTTTTAACTCGACAGATTTTTTTTAAATTTTTCTATTAAAGCTTTTTGTGTTTAATGTTATAGGTGGTCTTGGAATGCTACTTAAGGAAGGACTTGATTTACTGGAAAGCAACTCCAACATTTCATCACTGGTTGGTTGACGACAGAAGGTTTGGCCTTACATTTCAGAGCCCTGCTGATGCACGAGCCTTTGACAGAGGAGTCCGTAAAGCCATCGAAGACCTCACGGAAGGTGATGAAACTTAAGACCCGAATTCTGTCTATTCTTTGGTTTGGGGTGTGGAACTTGCTAGATCTGTCACATTCCGCAGCTCCTTTTTTAAAAACTGGTGACACCAGAAAATCTTTAAAGTTTGAGGAATGTTGGCAGGCGAGCATGAGCTGACTCTTCTAATTTTGTGCTGGGTTTGTCTGTTAATCAAGAAAGGGCCTGTAAATAGTCTTCATTTAGAAGGGCATCAGTAATATATAATAGATCTACTTTCTATTTTGACTTGGTAATAATTTGTACTAACTATTTCCTTAACACGACCGTTGGTGTAATTATATTTGGTTTTTCTTTACCTTGGTTTTGTTTGTTTTTTGTTTTGTTTTTTTTTCAGCATTTTTTAAATTTTTGCCTAGCATTTATAAAGGCCCAAAATATTCCATATTTCTGATAACGGGACACTATAGTCACCAGAACAACTACAGCTTAATGTAGTTGTTCTGGTGAGTATAATAGCTCCCTTCAGGGAATTTCATGTACACACTGCCTTTTCAGAGAAAAAGCAGTGTTTACATTGCCCCAAAGTGATTTAACTCAGAAATGGCAGAGAATTGAGCAGTGAGTCTGGAGGTGCATGATCTATACACCAAAACTGCTTCATTAAGCTAAAGGTTATTGGATGGCCACTGGAGGGGCTTCCTGGCTCAGGGCTGCACAGTAAGCAGCTCTGCTTTTCAGCATCCCCACACGCTGCATGGGGACTCTAGATTCTCTTCATAGAGATGCATTGATTCAATGCATCTCTGAGGAGGTGCTGATTGGCCCTGCCACTTGCCGATTTTAGCCAATCCAATGCTTTCCCGATGAGAGATTGCAGTCTATATGATTCTATTTATATTTGTAGCCATTTAGACATTTGTAGCAACTTTTTAGTCATGGCTAGTAACATGGAACTTGACATTTTAAACCCTGTATCTTTTATACACAAACAATGTCAGGAAGACAGGAGCAGGTAGTTAAAGGGACGCCATAGTCACCAAAATAACCTTTAGCTTAATGAAGCAGTTTTGGTGTATAGATCATGCACCTCCAGACTCACTGCTCAATTCTCTGCCATTTCTGAGTTAAATCACTTTGTTTATGAACCCTAGTCACACCTCCCTGCATGTGACTTGCAAAGCCTTCATAAACACTTCCTGTAAATAGTCAGCTAATGTTTATCCTTCCTTTAATGCAAATTCTATTTAATTTAGATTTTCCTATCTCCTATGTTAATAGCTTGCTAGACCCTGCAAGAGTCTCCTGTATGTGATTAAAGTTCAATTTACAGAGCAAGAGATAAAATTTTTTGAGGCAAATTACAACTGATTGAAGGTGAAACCAGTTTTTTTAATCATGCAGGCCTTGTCAATCAGAACCAGGGGAGGTGTGGCAAGGGCTGCATAAACAGAAACAAAGTGATTTAACTCCTAAATGGCAGTGAATTGAGCAGTGAAACCTGGGAGGCATGATCTATACACTAAAACTGCTTCATTAAGCCAAAGTTGTTTAGGTGATTACAGTGTCCCTTTAAAGTCCAAGCTCTTTGTACATCATATAACATTTCTAAGCTTCCTCATTTGGCCTGAAAGAAAGGTAAGGTTTGTTCAAGAATACATTGGCAACACTCCCAGCAAAGATAGGGTTACAATATATTTCTGTACATTGATTGTGACAGGACATGCAGGCTTGGGGAAATCTGAGTAGCCAGTCTTTACAAATTGTTACTGCTGTCATGCTTTTTATTATAGGTTTTTTAAATATTAAAACAGACTTTTGTCTTCTGGAAATCATTTAGAATTTAGATGACACTTGTGTGTTTTGGAGTAGGTTTTTATTTATTTTGCTTTGTATGGCTTTATATATGTTATCTTGCATTGGTGTCCATAGCCTGAAATATTTGTGCCACAAGAATACATTTCAATGTCTTAAATTTTCAAGTAAATTCCAGGATATAGATAATTACAAAAATGTTATCAGTCCCAGAAGGCTGAAAGGCACACTTGGTCATCCTGGGAGTTGATCCTGCTACCTTGAGGTTTGAACAGCTATTAGAGACTATGCAGCTTGTGATTAAAAGGACACTATAGTCACAAGTGCAACTACATGTATTCCTGACCCTATAGTGTTAACACGACCATCTAGCCCCCTGGGCCCCTCATGCCTCTATAAATATAGTAAAAATCTTACTGTATTCAAGTCAGAAGCTGTAAATCTGCATGCTGTTAGACTCAGGAAAAACAAGCAGTCTGCTGACATGTGATAGCCTGATCCAATCACAGTGCTTCCCCATAGAATTGGCTGAGACTGACAAGGAGGCAGATCAGGGGCAGAGCCAGCATGATTCAAACACAGCCCTGGCCAATCAGCATCTCCTCATAGAGATGAATTGAATCAATGAATCTCTATGAGGAAAGTTCAGTGTCTGCATGCAGTGGGAGGAGATGCTTGTGCACAGCAGATCTGAGTGGATGGAGGCATATTATGAAGAAGTCCCTCTGGTTCACTCTGAGTGACTGCAACTGGAGGTGTTCCTAGCTTTCAATGTAAACACTGTATTTTCTTGGAAAACACAGTGTTTACATGAGAGAGGCTGCAGGGAGCTCTAGTTCTCACCTGCACAACCTCATTAAGCTGAAGTTGTTCAGGTGACTATAGTGTCCCTTTAACACAAACTTGTCCCTACATTTTCTGATATATTAGTCTCTCTTCTTCTACATTAGATTATGGTACCTTGCTTTCTAAGGTCCTTCTTGCCTGGAGGGTTTAATCTGGGCAGGTTGTCGGTTTCTATTTACAGCTGGCCAATTTCACTCTCATGCTATACTTTGCTAAGTTTTGGAAGCCCTACCGTTCCAGTGTAAATGTACACAGACATCCTATCCCCGTGCCATCACACTGTGCTTGGACTATGGACCAGAAATGTCTGTTTCATATTCTCGTCTCCATGTGTGATTACAGTTTTAAAGGGTGGAATTAAGCAAGAGACCATAGACTAACCAGGTTAATTACTAACTTGAGAATTTGAAATGTTATGCTTGCATTGTTAAACTGGAAAAAGAGGTGAATTGGAGAATGTTGCTATGTTGGACTATAGTTTGTTATTCCTTGTTCAATTCCCAGTTTAGTGAATAATCCTAAAGTTAATGTGTCAAGGAGGTGAAGTCTTAAACCACAGCCACTTTAGCAGTTTTGAAATGCTTATGACATTACTATGTATTTTCTGACATTCTGCCACAAAAGTATCAAGGCTATTGGGTAGTAAAACGTTTACAGTTGGTACTGTGCAGTCAGGCACCCAGCAATCAACAGTGATCTTCCAGAGTTTCAGTCTGAACTGGTACCAAACAACTGAAAGTGAGCAAAAATGCTTTGAAAGTATTAAACAATATGAGTAGCCAGCACACACAAGTGGCAAAAGGCATTTATCATATTGTGGGTACAAGTATTAGCTGTGGTTTTGCTGCAACCATCTGTACATATAAGAATAAAGTGCATACTGAAGCTGTCAAGCTTGCACTGAGGGCACAAGGTTTTCCCACATGGTTTGCATGTGAAGGATAAATTTTGGCCGTGAAATGTTTCAGATTATTTCTAGGACATTGCTCTTATTTTAAGCCCTGCAGCCAAATCTAACCACATTGTTACTTCTCTTTTAAGGATCCACCACTTCTTCTTCCACAATACATAACGAAGCCGAGCTTGGGGATGATGACGTGTTTGCTGTAAGTAGAAACCTGCTTTAAACAATGGCGCCTAATACTGGTTGAATGCTTGTTTTGTTGGAAGAATATTGTGGGGCAACAAAATATTGAGATGTGCAAGGAGAACAGTTTGTGGTCTACCTTTTAAGTGATTCTTAAGCTTGCCATTTTAAAAGGGAGCAGTCATGTTCCAGGATTTTTAAAATGAAATGGACATTATAGTGTTGGGAATACAAATCAGTGTTCCTAATGCTAGTCTTCCTGTAACAACCCCGTGCGCTGAAAAAAAACTAAATTTTACTTGCATTTCCTCCAGTGTAGAGTCTCCCCTGGTGCCGCGGGCTCCTCCTAGTCTGCCTCCAGGATGATGGTACAAACCAGTGCTTCTCATAGAGAACCATAGGCATATGTGTACTGCTCACTAAGATCCGCCAATCAACACTGGCATTGCAGTGATTCTTTATAGCAACCTGTAACAACACTGCGCATGTACGCTAGAAGTCATGGACTTGAAGCAATGCTTCCCAGCTTAATTAGTATAACAAAATATTTGGGGGGCAAATTGAGAGGTGGGCTGCTGTAGCCACTATAACAACTTCAATGAGATGAAGTTGCAATAGTGAGTGAGTGTTTCTTAAAGCTTATATATTCCTTATATTTACAAAATATGTATTTGTGAGGCGCTAAAAATTTAACTTAAATGTAGAAATAAACAACTTTTTAATCTATAGCTAGGCAGCTCCATCTTAGCTCCCTGTCAAATGTTGTTGTAAGCACTATACTTTGCGCCTAGCATTCAGTAGATCGGAAAGTTAGGAGAAGTGAAACAATCTTTCTGTTTTCCTCCTAGTTTGAAGCATGTACTCTGGCAGTACCTGGATGTCATTTCCATTTCCTAGTAGTATAGCCCCCTTACTGATTCCAGCACCCATTGCTGCGCTCATTGGGCTGTCCCCATAGGAAACCATTGCTGCAATGCTTTCCCATGCAGATTTTACGGACTCGATGTCCTCATGCAGAGCGTAAAGTCGCCCAGGTGACCAAAAGTCGCCTAGCAAGCAGGAAGTGCCTTTAGTGGCTGTCTGACAGCTGCCAGGGGTAGGGTTAAGGGAACAGGGTCACTGCTTCCAGACCACTTCTATAAGCTGTAGTACTCTGTATATACTCTCCCTTTAATATAAATTAAAGGGAAAACATGAAGCATTACATGATAAACAAAAAAAAAAAAAGAGCGTTTAGCACAAGTTACAGGCAATGTTCAATGTTTCATTTAACGATGTAATTTCCTGACAGTTGTCCTTTAATGTTTAGACAATGTATAGGCCAATTTACAGACCTATGTTGGAAAAGGGAAGACCCCCCCAATTCTGTGCACTGACCCAGCAATGGTCCCTCCGTATGATGATATTTCTAAAATCGTCTGTCATTCAAAGATGTGTTCTCTAAAACAATAGGTTCCTCTTTCACCGTTTGACATCTTGGCAGTTATGTAGTTTTCAGAATCTCTGGATTCCGGAGTAGAATGGTGAATGTACTGAATATTATTGAACTGCTAATTGTAAACTTCTCTCGTCAACTGGCAATTAGCTTTGTTTCCCCCCCCCCTTACATTTTCATCTGTTAATAATTGTCACAAATATGCCTCCAGAATTGCACATAGACATGTGATTTAACTAGTGGAAAAAATACTGTTCCTGTCCAGATAATGATTCCCAATTATGTTTGTCGACCAAGCGATTCTTTGAACTTTGTTGTTTTGTTTTTTTTGTTTGTTTGTTTTTTTTATTGTTCCCTGAAAATGTATAGATAAATACAATATATAGATGTAGACTTAATAACTTTCTTAAATTTCATCCCCACTTTCATCACTTTTCAAGCAACAAAAAGCAAGGGGGAATCGGATTTTGCTTCCCAAGCACTACTAAGCCTCAACAAGCAAACCAGTAACCAGCCTCATGCTGATGAGTTGCATTAACAACGAAACAGCTGTCCATGAGTGGTTCACTGGTTCTGCATCTTTTCCTAAATTGTGTTCCAAGCAGTTGTATACTGCAAACACAGATTAAAAGGAATCCGTGTTTAAAATGGAATGAGGCAAAAATGTGATTCTTTGTTAAACTAATTTGCATATGCCCACCCAGAATCCTTTGTGGTTGTAACATCACTGCAGAGTTTGGATTTCTGTGGGAAAAGCAAGTCTTATGGCTTGACTGATGTGCAGATTTTTGTTTAACATTGTAATATATATATATATATTTGCTTGTTCAGAGATTGCTGACCCCATTCCACAAAAAAAAACAATTCCTGTATCCTTATTGTATTGGATATGTATTTAGAAGAGCTGTATCCCATTTTGTGGGGGTGCAATAGCTGTTAAATTAAAATAAACCCTCCCTCCCTGCTCTTTTAGCAAGGATCAGTTGAAAATGCCTACACCCCGACAGACTACTCTTACAAGCAGAACTGTCAGAGAGCACATAGCCATGCCCCTTAATGGGTGACACAGCTATTTGCATTCTTGTATTTGGGGATCGATTCTTTAAATGGAAAGAATTTAAAGCTGAAACAAGCCTTTACTCATTTTTTACTAGTTTTATTAAAGCTGGATTTTCAACAGACTGTCGGCTTACACGTGAAGCAATATTGGTTGTCATGGTAACGAAGCTGTTTTAATTTGAGTGATTGCTATAAATCTCAGAGATCTCACTTCATCAGTTAGAGCCACTGAAAGGCTTCAATAATGCAGCTAGCTACATCACTCTGCAACTACAGCAACTTGTCTGAAACTAACAACTGACTTAAAGTAAACCCAGCAATGTAGGGGTTTATATGGAAATTGTGCCAAGTTTAACCATCAATACACTAGTAGGTACTCCACCTTCTCAAACACTGCTAAGTGAATGGCTGCTTTTGCTAGTTTAGTATCATGAAGCATCACATTGCAGTCTAAAATAGAAAACAAATAATTCTAAAAGGAAACTTTTGCAAAATTTATCTTAAAGCAGCACTGTCATGCCAAACTTACCTTTCCCCAATCGATTCCTCTTCTCTCCTTCTTTTTTTATTTCTTCCTGTCTGCTCTAGTTTTCTTTAAAACTTAAGACAAAGTAGGGACTACTTTATCTTATGGAGGTTTCCTATGCTTTGACCAGCAGAGGAGCAAAGTGTGCTTCCTTTCCGGTGATCAATGCAATTTCCCCACAATTCTCACCTTTAATCCATGATTTTGCGAGGCTTCCTGTCAGTATTCCCGACCGTGCTTTCACTTAGCCAGAACGCTGGCGAAACTACCGAGTTTTGTCCTAACAGAATGAGAACAGTTTCTCCATTCGTGTTATGAAGCAATTCTGGACTTTCTAATGAATGAAACTCCGATCCTATTCATGCCGCGGCTGCATCTTGCAGCGGCTTAGTAGATAGCTCCCTGATACCGCTGGAATTAAGGAGTTATCTACCAAAAGGCTGAAAGACCTATTTTTTTTTATTTTATTTTTTATAACAGTGAGTAGCCACTGACTGCTCCCTGTTTAATAGACATGCCCCTACTCGCAGTATAGCGAGTAGGGGGCAGAATTTACTAATTCTAAGTAATCTTTATAGTAATCCAATTTAGGTCTTTCAGCCATTTGGTATATAGCTCCCTGATACCATAGGAATAGGATCGGAGTTTCATTCATTCAAATTAAATTGCGATCCGAACAAAGTGCCGAGTTTTGTCCTAACACGAATGGGGAAACTGTTCTCATTCTGTTAAAACTCAATTCGGTAGTTTTGCCAGCGTGTCTAAGTGACAGGACGTTCGGGAATACTGATAGGAAGCCTCGCGAGATTACGGAGGAAAGGAAAAAATTGTGGGACAATTTCTCTAACCACCGCAAATGAATCACACTTTGCTCCTGGTCAGAGATGGTCAGGCGTAGGAAACCACCATAAGACAAAGTAGTACCTACTTTTCTTTCTCTTATATTTTAAAGAAAACTAGAGCAGACAGGAAGAAATTAAGAACAGATCCTGACAGAGGGAGAGAAGAAGAATCGGTTGGGGAAAGGTAAGTTCGGCATGACAGTGCTGCTTTAACTGCCAGTGAGATCAACCAAGGTCAAAAAGAATAAAAGTTATGGGAGGTGCGTGCTATTAATGTTTCTTATTTAATCAGCGAGTCATTAACTTCCTTTCCTAAGATATAGCACCCTCTGTTCCACAACAAAACAAGTGTATCGAGGAGTTGATCACAAACCTGCAGTGCAGTGACAGCTTGGAGTCTCCTCTTTCTTATAATTGTTATGTCCTGTATGTGAAGGAATATGGCTCTTTGCATTTGGACTAATGTAGTGGTTAGGGCGCACATACAAGGGGATGCTTTCAGGTTTCCTGTAATATCCTCTGGCCAGGTTCTTTCAACAGTTGGCATTCTGCTCCCATCTGTTCTTTTTGTCCTTGTTCTAAAAGACAAACAAAGCACCGGTTGGGTTAAAAGGTGATTTCCTGTGCTCCACAGAAAAACCATCATTAACAGCTGCTTCCCAGCTACCTGCCAGATTGATTTATGGGATAAGATAGAGGAGGGGGGTGAGCACAAGCCTAGTCTAAACTAGATGTGTCTTCCTGTTATTATTACTGGCATTTATAACGTGCCAACAAATTCCGTAGTGCTATCCAATTTGGGAAAACGATTGTTGTATTTCTTGATGCAAGACTACAGTTTAGCGTATATGTATAACTAATATCCTGCTTACTCCACGCATGGGTGGAAGGGGAAAATATTTCTGTATATTTATAAATCTATATATATTAATACATAGTTTATAGTCTGCCCTAGAACTTGAAAATTATCAATAATAAAAACAAAAATCTCAATTGGTAAGCATTTTAAAACACAATATTATCACACCTGTCTGTGCTTAACTGTTACAGCTGTCTCTTTGAAAACCTAGCTCAAATATTAGACAAAAGCAAAACGTACACATTGGCAAACAACTGCAAAATGCATTCAACAAACAGCAGAAAATAAACAAACAACCTATTATAAGATGCTTGCTACTCTGGTACGTGTAGAGTGAAATCTGAAACAACAAATGAGTGTAGTTTTACTTTCATATTTGTAATTTGTTGATTCTCAATTGCCAATCTTGACAGAATGACCACAGCAACCTGAAGTAGTTGGGGCTGGAGAACATGACCGTAATGGTAACTCTAACCGAAAAAGTTTTTTTTTTTAATTAAAACACTGGTTTTAGATGGATTGACCCTCTAATAAATTTTTCCATGAACGGTATTAGGGAAACGCAAATTGAGTGTAGCATGTTTCTATGGGAGCTTGTTGTGGGACACGGCATATTTTATATTCTTCAACACGATCTGTAGTGGTTTCCTATAAAAAAAAAAAAAATTCAAGTCTGCATCTTTCAGCGGATGTAATTTTCGCACCGATACTACAGTGGTGTTATGAAGTGCAAAGTGTCTTTCGTTTATTTTTCCCACTGTTGCCTTAAACTTTATCTGATTACATGGGAGTTCCCATTATAGGTTAGTGGGTTATTACATTAACTTCTCCTCTCAGACATTTATAAGCCTGTTCTGCATTTTTATAGTTTGAATACTTTGTTTATTATTCTTTCATTAATTCAACAGGACCACAAACTATCCTCTAATTCTAAATTTTTATCTGTGACTGTAAGTCATCCAAAAACTGTATTGTGCATGAGCAAGTAAATCTTATGCAAATTACTATGTCAAATTATCATATTCATTATATTTTCTTCTTGGTTTTTTTGTTTTTATTTTTTGCATCACATTTGTTTAAATTTCACATTTAAAAAAAAAAAAAAAATTTCCTCTTTCTTAAGAAGTAGTACTTACACTTTCTGCAAGGGTAGCCTTATGCTAAATGGTGACCATTTGGGCCTAGTGTTTTAGATCCGTTACCTGTTAAAGTGGTAATTTAGAGACCATAACCTCAGTCTTTCTGGTTTCAGACAAACTTTTCAAATATTTTAACAAAAGATATGGGTTGTCTCTACACCCAAAGTACCACTCTCTGATGCTACAGCGATAATGCAAACGTTTCGTTTCCACATTATGCATAAACTATCCACACTTGGGCAGCAATCATACATTGTGAGCACTAGGCAAGCAGACCCCATATTTATGGATCCGCTTTTAAGCTGCAATGGTTTTGGTGCATACAGTATCCCTTTAATTACGGATTGGGTCATTACTCAATAAGTTAAACAAAAAAGATATTTTGAATCCTTTAGAACAGTATCCGTAACCTGTACATAGCCCGGCTTGCAGTATTCTATTTGTTTTTTGTTATGAACAAACAGAACATCTATTTTCACATCTGTTCCTTACAGTTTATTCGGTTATTGAATGCATGCTATTCTGTAAGTTGGAGTGGCTTTGTGCAAAACCCTGATACTTGTGTTTTTAAAGCTTGCATCCAAGATTCCGAATTCCCTTGGGCAGCTAGAGCTTGTTATGGTAACTGTTTTGTTTAATTTTGCTACGTTCCCAAACATCCTGTTTTCTGTCACGGCTGCTACTAAATAGTTTTGGGTTTTTTTCCGGCTAATCTTCCCACTCTGCACCTGTACTATGGGGGTATGTCAGTTCATTCAACTAATCAGTAACAAAAAAAAGGTTCACTACAAATTTAACTTGTTTCCGCATTTTGTATGGAGTTTAACTACTGTATAGAAGGGATGCTAGGGTCAACTAGGTATTATTGCTAAAATAAAAATAAGTAAATATTGAATGCAGATTATTGCACTGTGTATATATAGAATACATCATTTTATTGCGCTGTAAAATTAGCTTTTTTTTTTTTTCTCTTGAGAGGACCAAAACAAGTAGAGATATGTGAAATAGAACTATAAAAATAGTCTCTAACCAGCGAGTCAGAAAACATGAAAAGGAAAACGAACAAACGGTTATAATGGGGTCAGGCCACTCAATAAAGTATAATATAAATATGATCAGTTGGCTTTGGTGCCATAGAGAAATATGGCCAAGCTGTAGACCCTATGATTTCAAAAAGAAGATGTTAAAGTTAAAATAAAGCAATATCCAAGTGTCTCCAAACTAGCTTGAATCGATCAATAGAGTCTGAAGCCAGGTGGGAGATCTCGTAGAGTTGGCATACCTCAAGCAAGTAGGTAATAATTGGAGGGATAATGGATTTCCAGTTTTTCACTAGAAGCATTTTGATTGCTAAAATTATGATACAATAAACAGTTTGGTTTCGGATGTCGGGGGTATTAACCCAAAATAGCACATTGTATTACTCTTGGTAACCTCTTCCATTAGTCTGCAGTTGTCCAGTAGTTCTCTTTGGAATGTTCGAAGTGGGGGAGATAGATAGATAGATAGATAGATATAGATATATATATATTCTATCCCATTTTATTTGAGATGACAAATTATTATTGCTTTGGAATACTCTTTAGCTGTATTCTTTATAAACCACCTCTCAAGTGTTTGTTTGGTATGCAATCTAATACTTCTAATTAAAAGGTCACTCGAAGTACCATAAAAACGTATACATTACGTTTTACTCTAAGATCAAGAATACTCTAAGATAGCTTGTTCAGTAATCCCTCATCCAAGGATGTACAGCAGTCTTCCTAGGCAGAGGCCTAGAGAGAAAGTACCGCAGTAGAGTAACCACCCCAAAATAAGGTAAATTTGAGACTGTATCTAGTTAAATTATAATTTCTTGGTGCAGGGTATGTGTAGAGATTGCAAAACGGCAACTGAATTGCATTTTTGTTTAATATATAGAAAAAAATAAAACCCTTATTTTGTATAACTTGCTTAAAGATAGTTGCCCTGTGTAATGCTATTCTATATGACTTCTAACAAAAAAAGATTGCAAATCTGTAGATTACCAGTTAACTTTTTTTTTTTTTGCTTTTCCCACCCACGTAAACAGTAAGCCTATACAAAAAAAATGTATAAAGTTGTTCCCCTGCAAGACTCTGCTCTATTCCTGAAGGTTACTGAGCATGCTGTGCGTACAATTACCAAGAGTAGTCCTCTCTGGCCAGTGACAAGACGATGATTGACAACTTCCTGTTGGCACTGTATAATGTATTCCTATTCTTTTCTTTTCAAGTGTACAGAGCAGATTTATCCAGAGAGGGAGCAGAATAACTGTACTAATAAGAGCTTAAGAAATCTTCGTTTTGTGTCCCGATTACAAAATAGTTTAAAAACCATAGATTATATACCAACTTTTAACTATTTAACACCAGTGTTACATTTTTAACTAGATGCAATGAAAGCATATACAATGGAGTGTTTGTACATTAAAGTTTTTCTCATACAATATGGATATAATCAAGATTTGCTTATATGATTTATTCTCTCCCATGTGAATGTCTGCATCCCATATTTAAGTAACCTTAGAGCTTCCTCATAGGAAAATATAAATGCTTTCCTATTGGGTTTTGCGAGATGCTGGACATGAGGACGTCCAGCGATGTCTCACAGAATTAAAGAGACCATATAGTCACCAAAACAACTTTAGTTTACTGAAGCAGTTTTGGTGTATAGATCATGCCCCTGCAGTTGCACTGCTCCATTATCTGCCATTTAGGAGTTAAATTACTTCGTTTATGCAGCCTTAGTCACACCTCTCTGCATGTGACACAGTCCTCTTAAAAACTTCCTGTAATGAGTCATCTAATGTTTATACTTTCTTATTGCAAATTCTGTTTAATTTAGAATTTCTGATCTCCTGTTTTCATAAGTTTGCAAGACCCAGAGTAATTAAAGTTCAATTTACAGAGCAGGAGAAAGTAAGTTACATCTGATTGAAAGTGAAACCATTTTGTTTACACGTAGGCTGTGTGAGATGCAGCCAGGGAAGGCGTGGCTAGGGCTGCATAAACCGAAACAAGTGATTTTACTAAATGGCAGAGAATTGAGTAGTGAGACTTCAGAGGCTTCAACTATACACTAAAACTGCTTCATCAAGCTAAAGTTATTTTGGTGACTATAGTGTCCCTTTAAACTACGTGAAAATGCAGGAAGTGCCTCTAGTGTGTGCCTGGTAGACTGCCACTAGAGGCAGTCTTAATTGTGCAATGAAAACATTGCAGTTTTTTGTTAGAGTAAGGGTGAATACCACATTTGTGCAAAATCTGATATCTGTGAAAAGCCTGTGTACAGTACTAGTGAAAGCTCTTCCATTAAAAACTATTTGGAGCACTCACTACCGCGCTGCTTTCAGCTGAGTATCGACGTGTGTGCGCACCATATAGGTCACATATTCAGCCATTTCCTGATTGCTGTAGCATTTGGTTATTATTATTATTATTATTGCCATTTATATAGCGCCAACAGATTCCGTAGCGCTTTACAATATTATGAGAGGGGATTTAACTATAAATAGGACAATTACAAATAAACTTACAGGAACAATAGGTTGAAGAGGACCCTGCTCAATCGAGCTTACATTCTATAGGAGGTGGGGTGAAAAACACATTAGGACAGGAATTTGCAATCAAATAAGGTGGGCTGCCCTTTAGGAGAGGGCAAGAGACGGGTATGTGAGGTAGGGGTTAGTCTTGGAGGCCATAAGCTTTCCTAAAGAGATGGGTTTTAAGGCACTTCTTAAAAGATGCAAGACTAGGGGAGAGTCGGATGGCGGTAGGCAGGCTATTCCATAGGAAGGGAGCCGCCCGCGAGAAGTCCTGCAAGCGCGAGTTGGCCGTACGGGTGCGGACAACGGACAGGAGGTGGTCACGGGCAGAGCGGAGAGACCGAGAAGGGACATACCTGTGGATCTGTGAGGAGATATAAGAGGGGCTAGAGTTGTTCAGTGCTTTGTAGGTGTGAGTTAGTGCCTTGAATTGACTCCTATAGCACACAGGAAGCCAATGTAAGGACTGGCAGAGGGGTGAGGTGTGAGAGAACCGACTAGAGAGGAAAATCAGTCTAGCAGCAGCATTCATTACAGACTGTAGGGGTGCAGTACGGCTTTTGGGAAGACCAAGCAGGAGAGGGTTACAATAATCCATGCGTGAAATTATTAGAGCATGGACAAGCTCCTTGGTAGTATCTGGTGCAAGAAAGGGGCGGATGCGGGCTATGTTTTTAAGATGGAATCTACAGGATTTGCCAACATGCTGGATGTGAGGCTCAAAGGTGAGACCAGAGTCAAGTATGACGCCAAGACAGCGCGCTTGCAAGGATGGGCTGATGTTGGTACCACAAACTTGAAGGGAGAGCGAAAGAGGAGGATCAGTATTAGGAGGAGGAAAGACAAGGAGCTCAGTTTTTGAGAGATTGAGTTTCAGAAAGCTGGAGGACATCCAGTCAGAGATGGAAGAAAGGCAAGCAGTGACACGTTGCAGGACAGCAGGGGAGAGGTCCGGGGAGGAGAGATATAACTGGGTGTCATCAGCGTACAGGTGGTAGTGGAATCCAAATGAGGCAATAAGTTTGCCAAGAGAGGCAGTATAAAGAGAAAATAGAAGGGGACCAAGGACGGAGCCTTGGGGGACTCCAACCGAGACAGGGCATAATACCTCTGATCTGAAGATTCAGCAGGACTTGGTTGCTTGGGAGTGCTGGGTGTTAATGCTGTTTTAAGGGGCCCAGTCTCTGATCTGAAGATTCAGCAGGACTTGGTTGCTTGGGAGTGCTGGGTGTTAATGCTGTTTTAAGGGGCCCAGTCTCTGCTCTGAAGTGATTCTGGGAATTTCTTAGCATGGTCCAATTATTTATTTTTTTAATATAAAGGCTGTTTTGATGCAAAATAAGTGCCCCAGTCTTCTGTGGAGTGACAGATTTAAAAAAAAAAAAAAAAAAAAAAATTTAAGTAAGGGCTTGATTTTAATTCCCACTAAGGTGGTGTATATACTGTCACAGTGATGTCAAAATAAATTCTGCTTGATATTGTGAAATTAAGTGATTTCCTCAAATTTTGTGTTGAAGTGTAAGTGTATTCTAAGCATTTAAGTTACATCAGCTGTTGAGTTCTATTTTAAGGCTGGCTTCCAGTGAGAATAAAGGCTGGTGATCTCAACCATCTATAAATGACCCCGGTCAGACATTAAAATACCAGCTCTACATGTAGTGTGGGAATAGACTGTGTTGAATACTGTCTCTGGAATTCATGTTGGGGTTTTTTGTTTTTTTGTTTTTCCTTCAGCTGCAGCATGTCCAGTTGTTTTTAAAGGACAATAATAGTAAAATATAAGTGGGCTTTTTTAATATATGTTCAGTAGTATTGTCAATTTCTTAAGACCTAGCTCTCAAAGGGACACCAGCATAATTTATATAAACCATCTAGATAATAATGCCCTCCATACATTATGCTTCCATGATTGTGTTTATAAGGAGAACAATTATATAGCCTTTATGACTGCATTTGCTCATTGGTATAAAATCATTGCTTGAGTTAAAGAATCACTGCGTGAGCTAAAGAAATCAGAAAATGCTCATTTCCACATCCTTGGAAAGTGTCAGTGTGCTTGAAACTACTATATTCCCATGCCAAGCTATAAAGTGTTTATTTAGAAATCTGGAAATCAAAATTTCTTTGTAAATTTGGCACTGGTTATTGTTAGTTGTGTTTTATATATTAAACATTTTTACAACCTTTACATTCTAAACCTTTACATTCTAAACCTTTACATTCTAAACCTTTACATTCTAAACCTTTACATTCTAAACCTTTTCATGTGTATATAATCCTAAAGCTTTTAGAAACACAATCATGTATTTCTATCAGTTTTTTTTTGTTTAGATTTAGGAACCCCCCTCCCCTGTAACCGTAAAAATAAGGTACCTAGCATTTTTCTCCTCGCCATGGCTGTACTCTGTCCCTGGCTAAATTCATCGTTACTGATGATTTCAGACAGTCCAATCCTTCTCCATAGAAGGCCACTGGGGGGTTGCCTAAAAAGAAAAAGCAGTAGATCCCTAGATACTTCCTGAACTACAACCACTGTACAGTGATGCTTTGCCAGCCTTTGGAATAGCAGGAAATGACATCAGGGGAATCTTATTTTGGGGTCCCCTGGAGTTGAAGCCCAGTATCATTCTAACCTAGCTTTCAATATTACCGTGGCTTGATTTGTTAGATGGGCATAATGGGATAATTTCGTAGCATTATTCACATTCTGTGTAATATCACTTTAGCTGAATGAAGGTAGTTGCAAATTGCAATGCATGCGTTTTTTTGTGAGTGAAATTTAAATATCTTTTAAACACTGTGGTCCAAGAGATTCTGTGTACACGAACAAGCCATACAGCAAACAAGAATCTTGTTGTAGAATTAGTTATAGAGTATTGTTACATTGCTGATGGAATTCCTGTGTCTTCTGTAATCACCAAAGGAAACATCCATACATTAAAAGTGCTGTGGGCTTGCGAAGTAAAAAAACAGATCACTGCTTAGCCAGTGAATGTGAAATGATTAGAGGCTTGTCCTATGTAGGGGCATGTGAGATCCGACGACATGCACACCTGTCCTATGAATACAGACCTTCAAGTCAAGCAGCTGTTGCCGGTCCAAGTAATGTTTGTGTTTTAACAGTATTCCCTGTTTGTTATAGAGGTTGAGAGATGAAAGCTCCTGTCATTCCAAAAATCTACTTCTCTCGTGTTTGACCCATTACCGCTGTTATACTGACTATTTGTTTGGCAACAATAGGCTAGTGATAGTTTTGATTACACAAAAATCTTCTGTTCTTGTGACATTGTATGATTTATTCTCAGTGTAAATCTTTCCTATCTTCCCAACTCTCTGGCACTTTCAACCGTGATTTTGTGTTTTTTTTTTGTCCTTCAATATGAGTTTATTCTTTCAAAGAAAAAGGCAACAAGGGTATAGATGGGGGAAGCTTATAACCAAGAGAAAGAATAAAAATATGTAGCATGCATAAAGGGTGGAGAGATAAAAAAAAAAAAAAAGGCAGATTTTAATTTAAGGGGAGTTGTGATCTATGGAGAGAAAAAAGGGGAAATGTGGGGCACTGATGTTAAAGGAGAGGCGGAGGTGGCAGGGAAAAGCGTTAATGGAGCGTTCAGATTTCTCAAATCATTGTGTATATGATGTATGCATCTATATAGTGTTTTCTCTGAGAAGTTGTAATAAACCACAAGACTGAAACTTTTTTATGGAGGTCTCTAGAACCCCAATACTTCAGCACTATAATTTATTTTTTTTATTTTTTGCTTATACGGTTCCTTGATTTGATAGCTTGAGGGATTATCTACCCAATTCAGTTAGCTCGACCGATCTCTAGCATTGCCTGTTGCCAGAATGCCTGTGTATTCAATAGGCTCTTTTTGCTCTTGCGTCCGTGGCCGGTCCCTGCACCCTCTATAGCTGGGGTTCCCAATAGGTAGATTCCCCAGATGTTTAAAACTACAGCTTCCACAATGCTTTGTCATTCTAAAGACATTCTGAAAGCATGCAAAGCATCATGGGAGTTGTAGTTCTACAACATATGAGGATCTACCTTTTGTGCACCCCATCTCTATGAAAAAAAAAAAAAGCCACATGCACAAGCTCTCAGCTTGAATCAGAGGCTTCTCAACGAAAGTCATGGCCTGGGGTTAAACATATACCCCAATGAAAAAATGCAGAATTCAATGTATACATGTTTTTTTCATTGTTATATCCAGTAAATATTAATTAAAAACAAAAAAAAATAATTAAACTGAAATCTTCGTATGAACTTTCACGTCTGCATTCTTTTTATGGTCATACAGTGTCCCATAGGTCCATGTTTCTATTAATCTGATTATGCTACGCTGGGGGATGTAATGGGCTGGGCAATACATTCCCTGAGGTTAATTCTGACTTTTCACCCAGTGTTAGTGAAAGGATAGAACAATCGGTCTATCTGTCATTTAACATTTCCTGGTTACAAAAAGACTAAAGTCTATCAAGTTCAACCTTTTACACATATCTGTAGGTTGGTATATGTAAAAACTGTATTATATAGAAATAAATAATATCCTTATATAGTCTAATTCTCTGGGGGGGGTGGGGGGGGGATTTGTTTTTAGGTTTGTGGTTTATTTTAATTTTTTTGGTGGGGGCGGCTGGATGAGGCAGTATATTTCTAACTATCCACTATAATGAATGCTCTCAGCCTAGCACTTGCTCCCTATTAAGAAAAGTGAATGAAATGCATGTATTATCTCTTTCACTCCCCTTTTCAGTGCTGAGCCAAGCACCCAGTCTCAGGCTTCCTGGTTGAAACCTTGGACACAGAAATGCAGGGGCTTGCAGACTTAGAGGTTAAACCGTTCATTAACAATTTTAACCCTTCCAGTAAGCCAGAGTCCCAGACCTGATTGCACCATCACGACTTCACTGCTAAAGTTGTTATTGTGCCCACATGGTCTTATAAAGGAAAGTAACGTTTTGTATATTAATCTAGGTTCACTTCAACTACTATAAGCAATAGAGGAATGTACGCAGAAACTCTAAAACCTCTGAAAACACTTTTATCATTCCATAATGTCCTGCATACTACAGCAAATTTGCTGGGAGTGTGTGTACATTGCATGATGGGATACTGGCAATTCACCTTGTATATTCCAGGCAGAGCCTTGACAGCTTTACATATGCTGGAAACCGGAATACTTTGGAAATAAAGAGCACAACTCCTAGCTAAACTGCTCCCTTTTTAATTTAGACAAGCAAACGTTTTATGAAATGCTGCAGCTTGTACACTGGTCTCTAGATATGGGATAGACAGGGTGGTGAGGAGCTTTCCTAACTTGTTTTCTTAGTCCGTACTTTGGACAGATTCCTAGGCCCCAACGTAACAATAATAAAGCAATGAATACTTCTTACTGGCTCGTTCAGGTTATTTTAGATAATCCCACTCCTTGTTTACCATGACCACAGCTATCTTTGCATGTGGTGGGAGAAGGGAGTATGTTTCCTTTCCACTGCTGGTGGCCTTCGCCTCAGATGTTCCAATAAATTATGCTCTTTTAAAGCACAGATGACAAGTTATGATTCACGGGTGGAGTGTAATGTACAGACTTGGATTTCCATGTATGTGTTGTTGCAGATCCGTAGAAAGGTGCAGTCATTCTATTTTTATGCTCCGTTTAATGAAGGAGCTGCTTTGTTGCACATGTAATCTGATTGCTAGCATGTTCTCTGCAGCCTGCTACATCAAAGCGCCTGATTAACATTCAACATATATCTTAGCATCTCTGTCTTTAAAGGGACACTCTCAGCCCCAGTTCTGGTGCATAGGGCCAGTGTCTGCAGCCTAAGGAATGTAGACAGACCATTTACATCTGTCCCTAAAGCTGATCCTAGTGGCTGGTGCGGTGTTATCTGAATTGAAATTTGGTTTATTTTTCACCAGAACCTAAATTGTACTTTTAAAATATTTGCATCAAAATAGTATTTAGTAAATAGCATGTGTGTGTCCCCTCCACCTTCTAGTGTAGCTCACCTGAATTCTTGCATGGAATCTGTATCATTTGGCATGTAGTAGTGGGCCAGCTTGATACATTTTGTGAATAATTCTCACACTTTTTGGCAGAGCTCTGTTCTATGTCTGAGTGTATAACAGAGCCCCTTAGCAATAATATTTCGTTATCCGTATTCAAACTACAATAAATATGTTTAGAAGTCAGTCTGTAAATAAGATATTTTTCTAAATCACATTTTAGTTGCATAAATGTATTAGTAAGTCCCCCAAAATTTCTCAGACCAGCCTTACTCCTGGCCACACACCCCACTCACACCAATATAATTTAAGTGTCCCTCTTTATCCATTTGAAATATTTGGATGTATGGCTTTCAACACCTGGGTCATAATAGATTCCATGTTTATTATTTGCGTTACACACACAGTATATAATACATTGGTTGGGATCCTCTGACCTAAAACGTGTTTTTTTTTAGAAACTTGGAAATCCCTTTGAAATATGCCTTGGTCATACCTGGCAACTTTTGTGACCCTCTGTCTCTCTTTTCAGACTGGCACCGATAGTTCATCAAACTCCTCGCAGAAGAGAGAGCCACCGGTCAGAACAATTGCATCTCCTCTGCCAAGCGGACATTGCCGGTATAGCCCCCTCAGCCATATTGATACCTATGGCTTGGACCAGTATACCTCAGAACCAGTAAGTGTTTATTAGTAACTTACCACCTACTGTAAAAGCACACGAGCATGGTGTGTTCTCCTTGGCAATCATAGAACTGGCCCAAATGCTGCTTGAGTATTTTGATGGCAAAGTAACCCTGTTTAACTGTTTGTTTGTTTTTTGGGGGGGTGTGTGTGTGTGTGTGTTTTTCTCAGAAATGACATTTTTGTTCTTCTTTACCAAAGCAAAAAATATAAGTAGTCTTAGGAACAAACAAAATAATAAAATCATGAAAATTACATTTTAGCTCCGGTGTGTCCACACCATCATACGCGATGGTTTATTCTGGCATTGCAATGAGTACTTTTTAAGTTCTAGTTATGGGAACCCATTTGCATCTGTGGTGTACTGAGGTGTAATATTGACTTGTTACTGTGTTTACTTCTCCTGTTTTTTGGAACAGAAATAAAACCTTGTTTATAATGACACTTGGCATTATATTTTTGATGTCTCTGAATTTAGCGTATTGCGACTAACTGCTTTCATCCAGCTTGATAATGCAGAATGTATAGGTCTACAGATATCCATATTGATTCCCCTCAACCTTGTTGGCACCATAACGTATGTGCTGAGCTCTAGTGCCTTTGTTGCTTAAATTCTTAAAGTGCCCATTCAGTTTGATTGTGAGCAGATTCTAAAACCCTAGTTTTTTTGTTTGTATTTGTTTTGGCAAATGTAGTTATCCGTTTGGACATTCTTTAGTAATAAGCATCTCCTATTGTGTCTTTCAGTCATTGCCTAGACCACCTAGGCACGTCAGCTTTCCAGACGACGATGATGAAATTGTTCGGATCAACCCAAGGGAAAGGAACTGGCTTACTGGCTATGAGGACTACCGCCAGGCGCCCATCCATCGAAAATACACAGATCCAGAGAACACTGACTCTTACGTTCGTTTTGACAAAAGTGAATCTTCAAAACACGATTATAATTACCCTTACGTAGACCACTCTGATTTTGGCGTTTGCAAAACCATGAAGGGTTCAGTCATTAATACCCAGCCACCTAGGTGCAAGTCCAGGAGAAAAGATGGAGAGCGGTCAAGATGCGTGTATTGCAGGGACATGTTTAACCATGACGAGAACGGTCGGGGGCAGTGTCAGGATGCCCCAGATTCAGTCCGAAACTGCATCCGTCGAGTCAGCTGTATGGGATTTGCAGACTGTGTGCTTTACCACTGTATGTCTGACTCTGAAGGGGATTACACAGACGCTTGTTCTTGTGACACCAGTGATGAAAAGTTCTGTCTGCGGTGGATGCTCCTTATTCCACTTTCCATCGTTGCACCAGGGATGTGTTGTTACCTCCCCCTACGTGCTTGTTATAACTGTGGTGTTATGTGCGGGTGCTGTGGAGGGAAGCATAAAGCGGCAGGCTGACCATGTGCAAGCTGGGAATTTTCCATCTGTGCGTCTTTTCTGATCGATTGGGGATCACCTCTGCATTAAACAATCAGTTGGGTGCTTTACGCCCTGACCTGAACACCAGTTGTACTTAAAACCCCAGGGAGTTCAGATGGAATGTAACAAACTCTTTTTAAATTTCAAAAAGGATTGGCAAAGGAAAGGCATTTTGAGTTACTGTTACCAGTGAGAAACCAGATGTATAATATGAAACCTGAAGATGGGGAAAATACTAAATATTTTGATCTTTGTGAAAAACAAAATGTCATGTGTAAATATAGATGGCACTTCCAGAAAGGTTATGCTTGATCCCTCTGTTAAGGCTGATTTGGCTAGCTTCTGGAAGGAAAGAAAAAGGGTTTTAATACGTTAAATAAATCCCCTCCCCTTATAAGTATTTTAACCCGCAGCCAGATATTCTGTACTTATCTACTATAACGTAAGGTATTAAGAGTACAATAATGCAGTATTGCTATTTGTCTATTATGCCAAAACCAATTATTTATGCATATATAGTATTTGATGTCCATTATCATTTCTTTTTGTAAAAAAAACACAAACAAAGGGGGAGGGGGGGCAGAGGGGGGAATATTTGGGGCTTTTTTTTTTTTTTTTTTTATACATGGTCTTTTTCTGGTCCGGATAATTCTTATGTGCTACTTCAGCATAGACATAAACTGCATTTCTTAATTTATATGACATATATTGTAAATTCCAAAAATCTTTTCACCTTTAGGCTACGTAACGTGGCAAGGTTTGCACATAATTGTAATTATAGGGATTTTGTTAACTGTGAGTTTTTGTTTGAATTTTTCCATGAGCATATTTACGTAAAAGCACTCCTTTTTTTTTTTTTGTTTTGTTTTTTTGTTTCAAAATTACCGCTTTAGAATAATCCCTGTAAAGGTCCTTGGAAGTTCCATTTTATTTATGGCAGTCGGTCCTTTCCTATAGAAGGCTGGTGCAGCTGCAAACAATTGGGCAAATGTAATTATTTCCCTGGATTGTAAAATTTTATTTGAAAAATAGTTTTCTTTAAAAATGTATTGTTTTTTATATATATATATATATATATATATATATATATATATATATATATATATATATATATATATATATATATATATATATATATATATATGCCTTTTTTTAATTTTACTTTTCTTCCCTGGAACATATTTTACATTATTAGACAAAACACTACAGTTATCATTGAATAAAGGGACTGGTTATTCTGGGGAGGTTTGTAGAGCAGTAAAAGCTTTGTGTGGATTGCAGCATGTGCTGTTGTTTAACCCTTTAAGCCCCTGTGGTAATGCTATAATAGCTTTGGAAAGTTAACATTTTTCTGAGACCCCTTTCAGAAGGCCCTGCTCCTATTGTAGTATGTACAACCAGTGCTAGTAATGGTATAATACAATTGCAAACGGTTGGTTAGTGCACCGAATGCATGTTTTATGTATTCCTATTGACAATTTAATTGTAAAAAATAGGTTTTGTCATTTAAGTAGCCCATGAGGCATTGTTCAGAAGGGCTTACATGCAAAACATAGATTATTTGCTAGGTCTGTCCCAGCCGGGCTTGCAAGATCCACCATTTTTTTTTTTTTTCATGGATACACCAGGGCACAGATTTCCATTTGTTGCCTACAAACGTAAAGACATTATGCGTCCAAGAAAACATAGTGGATCTGGTAACAGGGATCCTGGGCCAATCGATAAAATGTATGGGGATAGCATAAAATATGTTTTATTGGGCAGCAAGCCTCTGCTCCATACCGGTGTGATTTGTAACTTTATTTTCTTACAAATAATAGACACACAGTTGCCATTTTTACATCTTCCTGTGGCAACATTGTACATTGGTAACCTCATGTTTTAATGGGAGTTTTAGTATTACCAGCTCTCACACACAGTGGCACACGTTTATTTTACTGAGCACAGTTCTGCAGATTTGTCTCCTGGGAGAGTCGCTATCATTGCTAATCTGGTTTGGAAACGGATACATGTGTGTTTCTTTAAAATGGGGGGAAAAAACTAAGATGCAAGAATTCAAAGTGTACAACACCGAAAACTCCTCTAGAACACTAAAATCTGATGCAGTATAAAGGGCATTCTCGCCCTCCATTGCCAGACATGCTACAACGTGTCTGAGGTAATGGGGTGGGTGAAACTGGAGTACTTCAAGTTAATGGAAGCGAATAATCAGATTTCTTGTTACTTTAGCGATGTTATGACACAGAAGCCCTTTCATTAGGATCTCCTAAAAACGTGAATGGCAGATGTACAACATACTAGACGAAAGGCTGCGGACTCTTCTGTGGCACTTATGTGGTTAAAAGTACAGTAGCATTTTACAGTGAAAGTGGGGCTGGCAATGCATTTTTTCTTTAAAGCTGTGAGGTTTACTAGAACCAAGTCTTTATATACTTAAAACAGAATTGTAACTTATCGAAATTTTTAATATTATGTTTAACTTGTCCTCTTTAGCAAATGTGTACCTTGTGAGGTTTTAAAAAAAAACCAACATCTCGCATAGGGGGGGAAATAAATTTATCCTAGAACTCAGCACCTCTGTCTTGGCTCCATACCAGTCATTGTTCCAGTCTCTGCTATTAAAAAAATTGAAACATTTCAGACCTAAATAACATTTATTAAACAACTTCGTGGAGGCAGCCATGCTGAATGACCAGGACTAATTGGAGGAAGAGAAACCATATTTCTATTCCTCTTCCCCGAATGCAAAGTGTGCCCTGCCTGTGCCTGAATTGAACTGGATTGTGATATCCCTTACTAAATCTTTAATGTACATTTAAAAGAAAATTATTTATAAAGGACTTTTTAGGGTTTCATTCAGGGCTGTAGTTTTTATAGACTAACTTTTTAAAGTGTACTTTTTGTGGAACTATGACTTTCTCGGAATATTTCATCGCTAAGTTGTGCTAGCCACATTTCTGGCAAATATGCCTAGATTAAATTTTCTTATTAACTTCGGTTTGTCAGGATTTGCCAACAACAAATATGGTGGTTGCAGTACCTGTCTGCGTCCGCATGCTCCCACAATGCAAAGCAAGTTTTCATTCAACAAGTATTTCACGGTGTCTCACTCTCTTCTTTCCAGGAGTATATGTATCTGCAGTTCAGTGCAGGAGTTAAACTTGAGGTTTTAGTGTTACATTTAATCTTTTTAGTTGGCGATAGAGGAAAAAATCCAATTTGAAGATTGGTTAAAATTCTTTACTCCAGTTCACACTAGTTTCACTCCCCAGTAGTAAGTGAAACTGTTTAGTAGTAAACTAGTAAGTGAAAGTGTTTCTAGGGTTTATTTAACTAATTAACAAGCAGTGGAGCTGACATGGGATTTAATTGTCCAATTCAGATGTTTTAACCCATATTTTGCAAGTTCGAACAATTAGAATGCTTCCCAAGACTTTAGGTGGGATAGTTCTAGTTTCTGGGTCCTGTCCCAGGATTGTTCCCTTGAGTCCTGAAATTGGGGACACTAGGGAGTTGTCACCAGCAGATTCAGCATTTGATGCTCTACCCACAATGCACTCTGGGCTCTCTGCACGTGCGACCCATAGTGAGCATGGAATGCTTGATTTCGGGTCATCCTCGCATGGTATGGCCCCCGCCTATCCCCTTCTCGGTTTCATACCTTCCATTCTAGAAAGGTCTGATTTCATTTGATACCAATTGTAACATTACTTTATCTTGACGTGGAGATTTATTATGAAGTCTAAATATGTAATATATCTTTTGGGATTCTTGAAATTAGATCATCAACAACAAAAATAAAATAAACAAACAGAACTTGATTTAACTTTTTTTGTAAACCTTTTTACAATGCAGCTGTGAATATCCAGTCAAGATTTCAAAACCTAAAGAAGCTACAGGGATCGATCATTTCGTTTCTGGAATAGTTTACGGCACCTTTTATAAGGGTATATTGGTTGATTTTAGGCTATTTTAGCTCAATAGTAATATATACATAATTAAAAAAAAAAAATAAATATCTAAATGGGAGGAAAAGTGGAACCCAATGTGATATTCGGTAAATGTGTATTTTAATATGGACTATATTTTTCTATGTACTGTCTGGCTATTTGATAGGATTAAAATGATAATAAAGTTGCCACCACCACCATTTACCTCTTTATTTTGGATTAATTTAAATGTTTTGCTTGAAAATTGCAATTTTAATATGGCAGTTTATTCTTTTATAATTTATTTCCTAAAATGCTAATTTTTCATATTTAGGAAGTAGTAACCACAATCGTACCAAACCAGGTCACATGCTTGTGTGCTTTGTTACTTCAGCCGGTTGAAAGTTTATCAGATTTGTAGATGTTAATGATTTGCCTGGTGATACCGGTCACAGTATAACTAATTTTCCCAATGTTCTATTCTTGATTAAAGCAAGGTTTTATAAAAATTGGCGCATGCACTTATTCTAAAAATGAAACCTTTCAAACACGGCAAATGAGCTTCTGCAAATCCTTTCTTGTCTAAATAGCTAGTCCTCCTGTACGATAATTAAAAATACAAATATTTTAATAAACTATCCATCCTAAGTCCTGCTGTGCATTTTGAGAACCACTTATATAATAAGTGTTTTAACTCCGTGCCATTTTGATTCATGATTTAACAATAGTTAGTTTTTAGACCATTTCTAGTACTGGAGATCTATGCGCAATAATGCTTATAAATACCGTTCACTGGGACTATTAGGAGTCATACTTTCAAGTTAAGACTACCTGATGTGTATGTCATATATTGCAGATTAGGGATCTTGCCACCTCTTTCACGGTTGTCTTCATGCACATCATCCTACTTGCCAAAACTATATGGGGGAATAGGAGCTTTTCTTTGAGGATTAGTGGAATGGGTTATTTAATAAAATGTGTGTGTTTAAATGTAGGGGCCCAAGGAAAGAAATTGTGTTTATATAAAACATTCTAGTACACTGGTAATGGCAGACCAGAAGGCAGAGTCTCTTGCAATTGTATTATGGTACCAATATTGAAGTGAAGACTAGATTGCATTTAAATACACACCTAAGCTCCCTAACTACTCTAATATTGTTCCCAATTCCAGTACAGCTATGTTCAAATGTACCATATTACAACAGGAACAATTGTAAATTACGATATCCTTTCTGGAATAAATTTTTTTAAACATTCTAATAAAAAAAAGAATCTACAAAAAATATCTGGATTTCTATTTATAAAAATACTTGAAGGCAAATTGCAATATAGTTGGCGAACAAAGAAATGGACAGCATGGCTGTGTGCGACACCACTAGCTGGTGGTTTATCAAGGCTGCAACATGCAGCTCTACTGTTGGCATATAGTAAAAAAAAATAATAATAAACATGAGCTGTTTTTCTTTAAGTTGACTTGTTATCCACAACTGTGTGAGTGACCAGATCTTTTTCAGACACTCCTGAAATTTAGTCTATATGATTTACTTGGGGAAACTTATGCAAATGCATATATTAAATGTTCTCTGCTAACCCACTTGGACCCAAGACATCTCTTTTTGAATGCATGAACACGCTGCTGATTTAAAATGCCAAACATATGACATCTTGCAAAACGTGAAACACGAGTTAGCACTAGGTATTATGTTGTCCACCAACTGCAGCTGCTAATTTATTGTAGTTTAGATCTCCATACTGACCAATTGGTATAAACTACAAATCTATCCGACCACAGTATAAAAATAAAATGCATGTATTAAGAAATGCCATTGGGTCATACTAGTTTAGTAGTGAAGTTAAATGAGCAATCCTTTTTGTTCAGTATCCATCAGTTGTGTAAGGCTCTTTTAGAGAAACTGTCACTTCAGCATTCATTAAAAAATTACTAGGTGCTGGTTTTACTTATAATTTAAAATATTATTTCTGGGTTTTGTTTTGTATTTTTTGAAATCTTATTTAGGTCAGAAGCCTGTTTTTTGTTTTTTTGTTTTTTTTTAATTAATGCATTTAACTGAGGTGAGGTAAAATGGACTCTAGTACCACCAACAAAATGGTGGCATTTCCTCTTTAAGTGATTAATGGGGAAAAAGTTTTTTTTTTTTGTAAAAGATTATATTGAAAATAGCCAAATAATTTTTGTATTATAAAAATAAAATATTTATATAAATATATCTTTTAAGCAGTTATAGTATACTAGCATTGTACAATCTGAACATTATGAGGTAGTTGGGGACTGGCTTATCTGAATGTTGGCATTTCTGTTCCTGCCATAATTACTCCTTGCAGTAAACTGCCAGCGGGTGCATACCTTTCCCCACCCTCTGCTTGCACATTGACATTAATTTTAATATTTTGAAGGCCACATAGGTGATGTCTTTGGCCCTTAAAGGGCTAGTTGTTCTGTGTTTTTATTTTTTCATTTTCTTTTATTTTTTTGTAAATCTATGCCATGTAAATTTAAATTATGCTTTCCCAGTCCTAATCATATTTGTTGCAAGATTTTTATTTAATCACTGCATTGCTGGAGTGGCATGATGTGCAGTGAGTTTAAGGAGTATCAATAGAAAAATAAAATTAAAATGTAATAAGTCTGGTGCTGAAACGTTGTGATCCTTTTAACTCTTTTCAGTTGGCCTTGTAATATTTTAATGATCTCTCTGGGGTGAAAAGGCATTAGTCAAGATATCATTTTACCACTAACTTGGGGTTATTTACGAATGCGAGAAATATCAGAAATTCAAACTAAATTTAACATTTACTTTCAAAGTTACCGAACTGGAAACAGCAGAATTGGAGAATTCTTCAAATTCGGCTATTTTGTCCTTCAATTTAAAATTGCATTCATTTTGAATTCGAAACAATTCTCTTTTATGAAGTAACCCTAGAACTGTAATGATGGAGACAGTGCTGGAGGAAAGCATGTTCTAGAACAGGGATAGTCAACCTTCTGCACTACAGATGCCGTGGACTACATCTCCTATAATATACTTACAGCCACGATTCTGGCAAAGTAGCAGGGGGATATGTAGTCCACAACATCTGGAGTGCAGAATGTTGCCTTACCCCTTTTCTAGAAGATTCTTGGCCTGTTCTTTGACTTGTTCTAGAAAAGGATGGAAATAAAATAAAACCTCATTTGAATTCCAAAAATTAGTCAATGTAATTTTAATCCTCCCTTTACATTTTAAACAAGTCTTAATATTTTGATACTAGGGATTCATGTATAATGGTTTCCAATCTGATGCGCCACCTCAACACCCTAACCGATATTAAAAGAATATATATAATACATTTTATTACAAAGTATGCATTCTTGTTTTAGTTGGTCACTCTGACATCTCCGACACTTTTAGGTAAAATAAAACCCTCGTCTTTTTATCTTTCTAAATCTCTGCTCAGGTATGCACCCTAAAAGTTTGTTGGTGAAACTCTTTTGCCATGGGAAAAACAAAGTCTTCATTGGAGCAGATTAAAATGACACTCGTAGTGTATTTGACAAGACAGCTAGCTTGTTTGTTACATTCTGATGCTAAAGTATTTTCTCCTCACAGCAACGCCACTTCTGTAGATACGAGCAAAGCCATGCGATTTATGCCCAGATGGCCTGTACTAGAACATAAGTGTGTGACAAATTACACTATTTCCATATTTGGGGTTTGATGTACTTGAAGTGACTTGTTTGAGATGACTGCCTCTGACCATGTCATCCTGTGCTGGAGGTGTAAATTCTTCCTTAAATGGCTTAACAGGTGTTTCCTCACAGAGTAAATAATATCCTTGCTTGCTCTATGCATCTTAGCAATCTACTTTGTTTGGAGCCTGAAGAAGACTTAAAACTTTACAAAAAAATGTATCCCTTATTCCCAATAATTGAGAGCCTTTAAAGCTGAACACTAAATGAGGCCTTATACGCCGATTGTCTCTAATGTTCCCCCTATTTAATTACAATACAAATTAGGGACTTTAAACTCTTTTTAATAAATCCCTTCTACTTTGTCTAGCCTATTTGTTTATGTGAAATCTATCAGAAGATGCTTTGACAAACCTTTCATTCACAAACAAATATGAATTTGGGCCAAACATGGGCACATGGACTGTCCCATTTCAGAGCCGCCTTGTAAATAGGTATAAACAGATTTACACTCCGACGCTAAGAAATAGGCCATTCAATGGACATTTGTAACCCGGAGAAATAATCTAGATTTTATTTTTGTATCTGTGGTAAAGGAGTGCTAATCAGTTTTGAGTTAAATGTATTTTTTTTTTTTTTTTGCAATTGCTCAAATTAACGAATTAAAGTGCCTAAACTGTTATATTCACTATGTAACTATATACGTAAAAAGATGTAAAAAAAAACTGTTGTAATTTTTATAAGCATTTTTACCTCTGTGTAAAAAACAAAACAAAAAGCCTATACATGCAAGTCTAATGATGTACATTTGAGTTATTTACTTTTTTTTTTTATTGTTTCTAATATGTATGATCGACGTAGTTACTGCTTTACAATACGTACCATGTAAATATAAATACAAAATATAAAAAAAGTTTGTCTTAAGCTACTTTTTATTGACGAATCTCAATGGTTGGTGACTCTAGATATATGTAAAAAACCATGTAAAGTAATTTTAGGTGCCTCTCCTATTGGCAGCGTGTACCGAAGTTGCAACAAAGTGTAAGCACTCATGGAAAGCTATTTTTAAATTTTGTTTTAATTACTCCGTACATACACTTGTAAATCAACCATGCACATTTTATGTTGCGGTTAAAGGGAAACTGTTTGGTTTATTTTTTTTTATAATCCTATTTAACATTAAATAAAGTTGCCCGTATCATGGTATTTTCTATTTATTTATTACACACACACAATTTAGAGCTTATTTTATTTTTATTTTTTTACCAAGTTTATTGGTCCTTTTTTATTCGTATAATTAAAAAAAAAAAGGGGGGGGAGGGGGGGTGCGTGTTTCTAAATATATAAAATCTTTGTAATACACTGACCAGCCACAACTTTAAAACTAGTTGCCTGATATTGTGTAAGTCTCCCTCACGCTACAAACTGCAATGCGCACTGTGTGTTTTGACACCTTTCTATCATGAACAGCATTAAGTTTTTCAGCAATTTGAGCTACAGTAGCTCTTCTGTGTGATCAGACTAGACAAGATCGGTAGATCCACATGCATCAAGGTTCCTTGGGCACCCATGACCCTTACAACAGTGTGCCGGTTGCTGTTTTGGAAATGCTCTGACACCGTTGTCTAGCCCTCTTTAGAGTCACTCTGATCTTCTCGCTTGCCCATTTTTCCAGCTTCCAACACAAGAAATTTAAGAGCTGCATGTTCATTTGCTGCCTAATATATCCCACCTGTTGACAGATGCCATTGTAACGACATAATCAATGTTATTTACATCATCTGTCAGTGGTTTTAATGTTGTGACTGATCCGTATATATTTTTGTTAGTATGGGCGTCTCTAAGAATGTAAGATAATCTGAAATATTATAAATCAACTTGTTTGAAATATCTTGGGGTATATTAATAAACCATATTTTCAGAGTTGGTTCAATTAACATAAGGCTGATGCAGCTCGTAATGACAAATGACATAGCAGGAATTGTACGGTTTATTACATAAAGCATGTTCTACAGAAAGTAGACTGGCAATAAATAACATTATCTAAAAATTCTGTGCTGTGACAGTGTGATTGAGATCTTCACTTTGAAAAGTCATAATCACTGGATGTAGAATGTTGTTATAAAATGCATGTCAATATGTACATGCTCAGTTGGACCTTGTATAGATTAACCTAAAAAGATATATAAGATCCCCCACTGTATCAGTCAAAGAGACAATTGAAATATTTAGTAAGCGGTCGTTTGGGCATGCTGCTTGGTACCCTGGTGTTTTAAAGCTGTATTGGAACGATGCAACACTTCCCTAAGTCCCTCAGGCACTTGTGGTCCAGCCCCTCTTGACAAGAATTGCTAACTTGAAAGTTCAACTTTCAATTTTGTCCAACTTTCTATGGAATTTATAGGCTGGGAAATATCAGCATACACTCGCTACCAATGCACTCTGACCAAAGATGGGTGAAAACTCAGCTATAGTAATATCAATGAAGATGAGTAGGACTGCAAACACACAGTTGGACAGCACCAGAAAACTATTGGCACCATAACCGTTACAGTACACTGTATTTGTTTTGGAACTTAGAGTGCCCCGTTAATTTGCTTATAGAAAGTGCATTTGTAGCATTTGTAGTGATGTCTGTGGAAGGTTAGTGTGTGTGGTTTGTCTGTATGTGGTTGGTGGTGTCGTGTTCGTAAAAAAAAAAAAATATATAGTGAGTGTTATGTAGTGCACTTCTCTGGTCATTTCCAGAAAATACCAGTCATTTATAGCTGGTGTCTCATGTGGGTTTATGCATAGCTTCTAGATTATTATTTTTTGTCGTATTCCTCCATATTTCTTTAGGATAATGTTACAGTAGATGTGCAACTAAAGGTGATAAAATATCTAAGTGGATTCCCTTTTTTATTTCTCTCGTATGTCTCATAGTGTTTTGAGGAGTTTCCTCATGGTTCAGCAATTTTGAGAAGTCATTTATGATCTAGATATCTTTTCACTGTTGGTTATATAGTGCAAACACACAGAATGAAGCCTGCTAACAATGTCCATGTAAATAAAGCTAGATAAACTAGAAACGGGCTGCTGCAAGCATAGTTTAAAAAGTAACAAATGCAACAAAATAAATAAAAATGTGTGTATGTATATATTTAAAATATACCACATGCCCAAAAAAGAAAAAGGTATTTTGCACGCAAGCCGCCCAACGTGTTTGATGCCAGATGGTACTTAATCTTATATCCAGAATATAGGAAACCACACACTTCCTATAACCACAGGGTGCAAATTCAGACTCCAGACTGCATACCCTTCTAGGATAATCCAAAGGTTCAGGCACTCAAGAGTGTAATAAGGCAGTTTTAATGAAACTGTGTATATTCGAAGCAGCAACGTTTCAACCTCATATTTAATCAGGTCTTTATCACGCTCTATCAAGATTGATAAAGAAAATAGTTTTTTTTACAGTAAGAACTACAAGGATGTGGAATTCTCTGCCTGTAGAGGTGGTTTTATCCGAGTCCATACAGATGTTTAAACAGCAATTGGATAAATACTTGCAAAAACATAACATACAGGGATATCATTTCTAATTAGTGGAGTAATAGCTGCTTGCTCCAAGGAGACATCTGACTGCTATTTTGGGGTCAAGAAGGAACTTTTTCCTAGTTTGTTGCAAATTTGGAAGCGCTTCACACTGGATTTATTTTTGCCTTCTTTGGATCAACCGCAAAAACATTTGTGAGGAAGGCTGAACTTAATGGACGCATATCTCTTTTCGACTATGTAACATGTCATCTGTGAACAATACTTGAAGCAACAGGAGTAGAAGAGAAGATTGTTAGCAAAGTATGGCTAGAGGAGACAGAAGGAAGGTTAACTGGTCAAATATTATTCCACCTTGCAGAAGTGAATTTTGAATGATGTTTTTAAGTTCACAATTGGACTTCTTTAAAGTAGATTGAGCACCGGGTCTGTCCCCATTTACCCATACTTTCTGGCCTGTTTTTCAAGACTATGTCACTTAAAATTTGGTAAAATGACTTCTTATTGGGACTCAAATCAACCAGAATGACATTAACATCTCTAGATGATATTCTATTGCCATTGACAGATGTCTGAATCACTCCTTTGTTTTTGTTTTATTGCAAGACTTCTCTAATATTTCTAATTCAAGATTTAATTTTAATAAACCCCAAGCCATGTCTCTCCATATTTCCACTCTAGTGTAGTCTTCCCTTACTCAGGCCTACTGTGTACCTGTAACTTCGATAAATTTAAGAACGCAGGGCATGTCTCACTAGAGATACAAAACCACCTCCATAAAACATGTTTCCTTCCTGTGTTCCAAACCTTCAAGTGTAATCTTGAGACTTTATCCTTGTATAGCTTCTCTTGGATTGATCACAAACACTGCATGAAGATGAACCTCCGCTTTAGATTATTGTACCTTTCTCAAGGCCTGCCAGTTTTACTATTGTGGAGAGATGTTCATGATTTGCATTCTTCCATAGACTGCCCATGGGTATAGTTTGGCCATAAAAATCTACTCCGAGTCTGTGGACTCTGCAAAAGGTCAGTGAGTTAGACAATGCTATTGATAAAAACACATATGTATTTAATCATACAATGACGTTGGTCTCAAGTATCTTGGAAAAGTTGCTGAAAGAGGGCGCTACAATAAATTACCACATTGGCAACGCATGTCGCTCGCCAATTGAACTGGAATTCCAGAGTTTGCCATGTTTTCAAAATTATCTGTCTCCACTGCTACAGTATATTGTTGCTCTTGACTGCATTAAACATGGATATTACAACCGGGTTTCAAACAAGACCCCTCTCCTAATTTCATATAGTACATAAAAAGTGAATGTGAATCTGAACAGAGCACAATTGATGGTTGTGAAATTCACTAAAGAATGACATTTAAGGCTCAAAGAGCCACATTGCTGACTTGGGGAATGCTTCCAGTTTGGCTATTTAAAAATAATCAAGATGCTATCAGGATATGCACTAAAGTGAGAATTGTTAAAGGAACTCTATAGGGTCAGGAACACAAGCATATATTCCTGAATCTACAGTGTTAAAACCCCATCTTGCCCTCCTACAGTGTTAAAAGCGCATCTGCCCCTGATCTGCCTGTTTGGCTGACATCATCTTCAAGTGATAATCTGAACCAATTGCAATGCTTTCCCATAGGATTGGATTGGCTGAGACTGTCAAAGAGGCAGATCATGGGTAGAGCCAGCACAAGCCAAATATAGCCCTGGCCAATTAGCATCTCCTCATAGAGATGCATTGAACCAATGCATCTCTATGAGGAAAGTTGTGTCTCCATACAGAGGGTGGAGACACTGAATGTCAGTGCTGCACATTGTGCAGGAAGCAGCTCTAGCAGCCATCTGAGGAGTGGCCAGTGGAGGTATCACTAGGCTGTAATGTAAACACTGCATTTTATCTGAAGGGAATGGTGACTATAGTGTCCCTTTAAGAATTAAAAGTAAACTTAAAAATTCAAGCCATAGCACCTAAACTGGAGAAATCCTTCTGGTAGTCTGTGCTTCCAGTTTGGCTGCTCTTGGCCTTAATTATGAAATGCACTTTAAATTCACAACATCTTTACTTTAGCAAATAATCCTGTGTGTGTCTTGCAATCAGACTATGCAAAACACAGAGATTTTCTCCAGTGCTTTGCTTGAGACTCATTTTAACCTTACAGGAGCGAGCTTGAACATTAAAGTCAAAAATAGCTGACTTGGCGTATTTTCCAATTTGACTATTTTATCCTAGAATCTTGAAATTATTATCTACTTCTGCATGATACAGGCCTCAGACCAGTGGTGTAGCAAAGGGGGGGGGGGTCCACTCCAGGTGGCACTTTTTTGGGGGGGGGCGGGAATGTCCCTGCTTCCTCCAATACTGACCCTCCTCTTACCTTCTGAGTGAGACCTGGCACCCATCCTGCTCTGTTTGCCAGGTCTCCACGGTGCGGTGCAGAGAGAGAGGGGAATAGGCAGGGCTGGAGGATGGGAATTGAGGTCTCTTCCTGTGCTCTCCTCCTGTCCTGTGGAGTGCTGGCAGAGTCACCAGGTGTTTTTTTCCTCACCTCTCTCCCCCTTCACATACTCCCTCCCTGCTCAGGTCCCCTCCCTCCCTGCTCAGGTTCCCTCTCTCCCCTTCACAGACCCCTCCCTCCCTGCTCAGATTCCCTCTCTCCCAATTCATAGATCCCTTTCCTACCCGCACAGGTCCCCTCTCTTCCCCTTCACAGACCCCTCTCTCACTGCTCAGATCCCCTCTCTCTCCCTTCACAGATCCCTTCCCTCCCTGCTCAGGTCCCCTCACTCCCCCTGCTCAGGTCCTCTCTCGCCCCTTTAACAGACCCCTTTCCTCACTGCTCAGATCCCCTCCCTCCCCCTTCACAATCCCCCTTCCCTGCTCAGATCCTCTCTCTTCCCCTTCACAGACCCCCTCCCTCCCTGCTCAGGTCCCCTCACTCCGCCTGCTCAGGTCCCCGCTCTTCCCATTCACAGACATCCTCACCTACCAACCCTGCACATGTCCCCTACCTCCATGCACTCGCACAGACCCCTGGCACCTTGCACAGACCCTCTATCTCCCTGCACACACCCCTTTCATCCCTACACAGGCCTCTTCTCTCTCACAGACAATGTCCTGCATGGAGCCCTTCCCTCCTGGCTCAGACCCCTCTTTCCCGCCCCTGCACAGACATCCTCCCCTCCCTCCCCTCCTGCGCAGCCCCACTCTCTCCCTCCTTGCACTCTCACAGACTCCCTGCATAGATCCCCTCTCTCCCTGCACTCACAGGTCCCTTATCTCCTTGCACCAAAGTGCAAATATA